ACCTACCTACCTACCTACCTACCTACCTACCTACCTACCTACCTACCTACCTACCTACCTACCTACCTACCTACCTACCTACCTACCTACCTGCCTACCTACCTACCTACCTACCTACCTATCCATCTATATGGGAAATGATGGAAAAGTTTAAAGAAACAAACACCCCCCTGTCCCACTGCATCAGAACCACTCTCCAACTGACTCACCCGTCTTCCTTCCAGACCTCGACTCCCGCGAACGCATGAGCAAGCGCCACATGAATCAGGCCGGCGACCCGGTCAAGGCCGTGCGCGCCATGTACGAGCTGGCCGTGATGGAGGACCCACCTCTGCGCGTCGTCATCGGCACCGACGCCTACGCCGCCATCATGAACAAGGTCGACCAGTACGAGCTGAACTACAAGCGCTTCGAGTCCTTGAGCAACAGCACCGATGTCGATGGCTATGTGGCGCCGCAGTGAGAGAAGACGATTGAACCCCCTCCCCCTCCCCCTCGACAAATGGACCAAAGAGAAGAGAGAAAATTCCCACACAAAACATCAACCAACCAAACAAACAAACAACCAAACAAACAATTAGACCCCAACTGAGCCACGAGAAGAGCGGACAGAGATAGAAATAGGGAGGCTTAGGGCCTCCCGGAACTGAGATATGGACGATTAGCACCCTGACTATGGAGTCCATTGTATGAATCAATCCAGATGACACGAGCCGAGTTCAGAAGACTCTTGGGAAACGGAGAGGAGTATACGGAGTAGTGTATATACACTTCATAGATCCATCGAGTATACTCGGTATGCTTCAACTTTGTGTAACTACTCTCCTGAGCAAATATAAATGCCACATCAGCCATCGTACTCCGTACATAGCCCGCTGGGTCCCGCGTGGACGTACGCGCATGTCTACTAGTCGTTAAGCATTTGTCCTTTCTTACAACGCCGCATGCTGGCTGATGATCTCGGCCTTTTCTCGACCTTCTTCCCGTTCGGTTCATAATGGCAATGGCAATGGCAATGGCACTATTGTACATATACACATGACGAATGTAATCGATCTTCAACCAATCAATCATCGCCAACGTCGGTTACATTCGTTCTTGTCCTCTCTTACCCCTGGCCTCAATTCTGGTGTTAACTTTTCCTCCGCCCCAATCCCAATCCCAATTCCATCCCAGTGAGATCGAGTTCTCCCATCACGTCACAATTTACTCTTCTTTTGGAAGCCCATTCCACCTACCATTCAACCTTTTGATGAACGCCGAAGCCCCTTCTCAGAGCGGTGCCTGGTCCCTTCTCGATACATGGCCCATTGATGGGAAATGTGTTAGATGCAACTCAAAGGGGTATCGTAAATGCAAGACTCCGATCATGCCCATCAGTATAGCCCCTGTCAATGCTTTTCTGCTAATGCGCCGGCATTCTTTTTGCGTGTTCGAAATGGAGACGAGGAATATCTCTGCCGTTCGTGCTTGTGTTCATGTCCGTTAGATTGTGCGCTGTTTCGTTGTTGCTGAAAACGCTCCCACCCAATCCTCATCTTCAAATTCGTTGTTGCTGTTGCTGTTGCTGTTGTCGTGCTTGTGTGGCCGCGGCCAACTGATGCTTCAGAGAATTGATCTCGTCTTGCATCGCATTCATTCTTTGTTCCAAAGTCGTCACATAGGCCCAGATTCGATCATCCTTGTTGGCAAACATGGGATTGGATGTTTCTCCACTGCCGTGAACAGAAGGTCCGTGACTAGACAAACTATTGCTGTGAGATGATAATGGACCACTCCCGCTCATGTGTGTGGGTGGCCCACTAGGCTGCGTCGGAGGGTGAGCTGGGCCGCCTTGACTGGGCAGAGTGTATCTTGCATCGGGTGGGTTCAACACGTTAGGTGGCGGCAGTTGAGGTGCTCCCGAAGCTACACTCAGAGATGAGCCGGTCCCACTGGTTCGAGCGTACTGAACTTGCTGATAATGTGTCACACTGGGAGATCGGTTTCGATTCAGGCTACCCTCGGCCGGTCCTGGTCCCGTCCCTCTCTGTGCCTGACCAGGCGAAAGGGGTTTCGGACTTTCGGTGAGCGGGTTTTGGGCAAATACCGTGCTTCCAGGACCCGAAGGTCGCGAGCTGGACGAGGAATTAGACATCTGTGGAAATGGTAACGATGCCGCCGCCGAGGATCCAGTAGCAACATTGCCCGATCCAGAGGTGGCTGAGCCATAGCCAGCCCGGGGTGGGAAAAATCCACCCGCCAGACCACCGGGGGGACGCCCTTGGATAGGAGGGTATGTGTTTGGAATCCGAGATGTATGGTCCGGATCCTCTCTAGCATCGTCCCCGGAAGGAGCCTGACGACGGATCCGGGGTTTCGAGTCATTACCTTCCTCGTCCTCCATGGCGTCAGGTTCGTTGTACATGATCCCTTCCATCGACTCATCTCCTTCGGCATCATCATCCCCGCCGAAACTGCCCATGCTGGCTCTGCGACCGGCACATCCGCCGATACCTTTAGTATGACGGGCCAAAGCGTCGCCTCGTGCGAATTTTCGTCCACATTTGGAACAGATATGGGGTCGTTCACCTGTATGCAGCTTTGTGTGGCGCTTGAGATCGTGCAACCGGCGGAACCTCGATTGACATGTCGAGCAGACGTAGGGTTTCTCTTGGCTATGCGTTAACAGATGGCTCTTCAAATTGTGATGACGAGTGAACTCGGTGGCACAATAAGGGCATCTGTGCTTTTTGCTGGAAGGAGATCTTGTACCTTGTCGTGTGCCGGAATGAGGCAAGCTCATCCCTCGTCTAGCGCCTTCGTTTACTTCGGCTTGCAACAAGGGCGTAGGATAAGAGAAGGCTTTCACGCCTTCACCAGATGAAGGAGAACTCGCCTCGACGGCATTGGTGATTTGACGGTCGTGCTCGTCAATGGGCAATGGACTGCCCACCGTCGTGGTCATACCGGAAGCAGCCGCCATACTTTCAAGCGTACCAACACTGGACAGACTCGTGGGACTGGTCTGGGCTGCATGATAATCGCCCGTCGAACCTTCGGCCGCAGTCCCGGCCGGTTGTTGAATATTTTCAGCCACCACCGCCAATGGTTCACTAACGGTGGTTGCGGGGCCTGGGGCTTCCTGCACCCGGGGAGCCTTGCTCATCGCATTTTGGTTGGCGCCCATCAGCGTGTGGAGGGCTTGTTGAGGGGGGTTGGGGCTTGTTCCTGTGGAGGGAGTGGACAGTTCCGCCGAATATTGCCGTTCTTCTGCCAACGCGATCGCAGCTGTCATTGACGGTGCATCTAGCCTGATCCTCTTTTCGGGTCTCGAAGATGCTTCTAGGTCGTCGGCGACCCTAGCCTTGACCTTGGACGTGCGCTGCACGGGACTCGTTGGCTTGACGAATGTGGAAGAGGCGGCACCTGGATCCCCCGGTGATATGTGTGAGTCTATAGTGGGCTCAGCCATCAACAAGTCCGACGTTCACAATGAGTTCTGGGACCTATATCATCGCTTGTCAGCGAGTATGTTCTTGCGGACCAAACTCAGCGCGCGTTCCGGACGAATCTCGTATTTTGGCAGACGAACCACGAGATCTTCGAGGCTGTCGAATAGTGGTAGGGAAATGCTTGGGTGTAATCGTTGCCGCATCAAGTAACTCGATTCACAGACTCTGGAGGTTCGCGTACCTTGTGGGTGGGGCATATGTTGAAGTGGTAGAGTTGGAGTTCAGATCGCAGACAAAGGCTGAAGTTAAGCGTATATTCAGCCTCACCACGAGGTGCGCGGTGACCTCGCAAGCTACAGATTTGTCGCCAGGTGCGACGCCCTTGATGTATAGTGTGTCCTATCTCTTGATGATTTGGAGGGCGACACTGCGCAGCATGGTATGACGCAGCGCCGGTTGCGCAACACGTTGGAAGATCGAGTTTCAATCTGTGTTCGTCGCAGGACTAGACCAAAGCCGGCCGTGAAAGCCTTCGGGGAGGTATGTCGTGGGCCTAGGCGGATTGTCGAATGTCCTTGTCTGCGCAGGTGAACGAGAGAAAGTTGGTAGGGCGCTGATGGGTAACTTGTCAGAAAGCGAAGGTGTGAATACTCGAAGTTGAAGCAGGGGCGGCGATGACGATGAGGGGAGCAGTGGTGGAGAAATTTGACGAGTATTGGACTATTTGGAACCGTTGTCCATGGGACCACGATCTTCTGGTCGCAATAGAGGTTGGATTCCTGAAGGGCAAGGAAGGGAATGGTGATGATGAGGAGCAGGTAGAGGCAGAACCCTACCTGGTACCAGCCAGCCAGCCAGCGATTAGTTTGGCTGAAGCGAGTCGGGTTGAGTGGCTGATCGCGGAAGGAATAAACGGGGGCAGGCGAGTTGAAATGACGCCGAATTGGCTGGGCAGCCTGGCTAATGGGTTGCGTAGCAGGAGGAGGAACGAGGGTTGACAGCGACAGGAACAACGAGCTCGAGGAGTATAGAGGCGGGTGGGCTGAGCTGCTCTACTGTATTGATGGATGGAAAGGCTGAAGCGGATTATTGCTGCGGGAGAGAGGAATACAGAGTAGTTGAGTCAAGACTGGAGACTGGAATGGACGAATTTTGAGTTGAACCAGGTCGCTGGTGACGGTCGACGGGTGACGATGAGGGTTGGTCCGTCGGGTGGACCGTCTATCTTGTCTTGATTGAGTTCCCTTGTTCTCTTTCTCCTCCCCTCTTTGCGATGTGGCCTATGGCTGGTGGTGAATCGACTGTGGCCCCAGAATAAACATGGTTCGGCCGGGCGATGATCGAGTTGTAGGAGAGTGGATGGGGGAGGAGGGGAAGCAAGACCGAGAGGCGCAGGCGTAGGCGTGTGTTTCTTCGAGGGACGACGAAACGAACGCCTCAAATCTGCCCTACGTCGTAGCGCCAGGGCCCGATGGAGTCAAAGCTGGTGGCGCCGGATGATGTCGAGCCACTGTCGCCACTGTCGCCACTATCGAGCCACTCACTACGCGGGAGCTGGTGTTGCACAAGGGACAGGGGAGTCGGCCGTAGTAGTGGCTCACAGTTGTCGAGAGGGAGAAGCCACAGTGCTTGCGATGCGTGAGGATGGGCGGAGGATGGTGGCACGGGCAGCCCTGTTAGAAAGGGTGGTGGATGGTGGACGTGATTAACTGGAGCTGCTGTTGGTGCTGTGGTGGCTGCTGATCGAGTGATGCGTGATGCGTGGTGCGGTAGATTGTGGCAGTGCTGTGGATGACCTAACACGTCCCTAACTAGTGGCGCAGAGCAGCTGCTGATGATTACCTGCATAGTACTACCTTACTACCGTACCTGGTACCTACCTACTAGGTCCCTACTGTGTGTACATACGTAGGTAGGTACGTACCTTAGAGCTCTTAGGCTCCCAGGTGTACGCACCTGCGGCTCTCAACGCGTCAGTACAGAGTAGAGTACTGGTATCTATGTACTACCTAGGTATCTAGCCCAACCGTGCCTCTGCTTCAGTAGATACATATTACCTAAAGCTGGAGCCCAGTATTGCCATGATCCTGAAGCGAGGCCTGTGATGTGTGCGGATACACCAGCTGCTGTAACCACTAACCACTAACCACGAACCACGAACCAGAGCTTGCCTACTCGTCCTCATTTACCTCATACCCTTTTCGTCATATCGCGTACCCATGTCAGTCCATCGTCGGTGGCTGGTAACGGTAACCCCGTCCTGCGTCCTGCATCCTGGGTCCTGGGCGGCATTCCTTCTCACGCCATTCCCACCAATCATCATCTCCATCTACCACCGTCGTTTCCTCCCGGCCTTGACAGCTTACACTAAGGGACCTTGATTCATTTGACGATCGCCAACAACGTTCCCACCCCTTGCACGTTTGTGGGTTTCAGTATCTTGAGGGCGTGAAATTGCCCAAATCGTCTCCGAAGTCGTCCTCTTTCGGCAAGATCCATTCCTCAGCCGCCTGTGTGGCGTCGACTGCGCTGAACTACGAGCACTACCTACTGTCCCTCCACCTCCGTCAACCGCGACCCAATCAGTGTCGTACGAAGGCAGCAACCCAGGCAGTTCGCTAGGTTATGTTCACTGTCCTAGATGGCCCTAGGGCTCAGCAGCACCGGCCAGCTCTTCACCTCCATTTCTGGCCACGAGTCTAGCCGGTCATGGTCAGCTTGCTGGATTCTTCTTTTACGAAAAGAGCTGAGAAACACTACGCTATTATTACGATCACAAGTGGCTGAGTGAGTGAGACATTCCCGTGGGTGCAACGCTAGGCAGCAGAAACAGACAGTCGTCCCGACTCTTCGCAACAGCATTCGTGGCGTCGTGTTCGCTTTGACTCGATGAGGCTGTTGCCCCATGGACCGATGTACGTACGTTGTTCCTAATTAGTGGAAAGGCAACCCCCACAGCCGTCCGCTCGAGGAATTCACGAACAGGGCAATCCTAGTTGGTCCGGCTGGGGGTTCCTTTGCCCTGCACCCCTGTGGCTCGTGACGCCCCGAATTCCCCACACAAGCTGCTGCGCTTACAGGAGCTATCTGAATTGTATGTACTCCGTACGGATACTCCGTACGGACTCGGCTTTTGTGTTCCTTGTTGGATGGTGAGCTAGTATCTCATCATTATTACTATTGTGATTCGAACTGATACGTGGTAGCTGTCCAACTAGAAGCGTCAAAATAGCCATGCATTGTAGCTCTGACCAGAACCAGAAACCGCTTCAGACGTAATCCATCGCCTGCAGAGACCACAAGACACGACTTGAAATCGAGGGGAACATGCAGGTCAACATCATAGCGGAACCCGCCAGTGTCCCGCCATCTCGCACTAGGCCCCAAGTTCGGTCATACTCTACGAGTATACTTTCGCCTATGCCAGACAGAGGAACCTTCTCAAGGCAGTGCTGAGACCGTTGAAGCGTTCCGTTGCTTGGCCGCTTCCAAAGCCTTCCTGATCCTCTCTTGATGCTCTGGGTCCTCTCCGAGCCGATCGATGAGCTCCCGGATCAGGGCGATTGCTTCTGATGGTCCCTTGGTGACGCTGCTGATTCGGCTATTCATCTCCTCAAGCAGCTTGGTGTCTTCTTTGGCTTTCTCGGTTTCGAGGTTGCTGTACGTCGCTTTGTCCGCATTAGTCACTCGAGCCTCGGCCACGGATGCCGCGTAGTCGGCTTCGTTCAGAAGACCATCCGCCTCGTTCGACAAAGCGAGAAGCTTTTGCGAGTCGGCCTTCACTGTGTCCACCACTTCCTGGGCCAACGACAGTGTTTCCCGCGCTCCGGCACTCTCATACAGTTGATCTTTAGCAGCAGGATCTGCAGAGAGCATCGCCCTCTTGACCTCCTGCAATTTGGCAAAGATATCATCAATAAACATCTGGTTGTCTCCCAGTCCACGAACAGTAGCTCTGTCAAAGGCATCCACCAACTTGTTGGCTCTGTTGTCCTTTTCGCGGGCTTCATGTAGCACTTGGGTTTTCTCGGCGGTCGCGAAATCCATTTCCAATCTCTTCACACCGGCCGTATCGCCATTCGTGTAGAGCACCGTCAGCTCTAGACGTTTGCGCCGTCTTTCCCGCTCCACATGAGCCTCAGCAACCTTTCGGTGCCTTGTCTCAATCTTATTGAAGAGGGACAACAGGCAACTCATGACTTCAGACATCAACGCCTGCTCTTTGGCACTTTTGAAATACTGACTGGCGGACACAGTTTCGAGGTCAAGAAGGTCAATAGCTAGGACGTAAGCCGTTGTCAAGTTGGCAATTTCTGTCTCAAGCCTTTCCGTGACTGGAGTGAAGACTTGTGCCGTAAAAGATTCCAACTCTTCTTTGTTTTCGAGATACTGTCTCTCTGCTTCTGCTAATTTGAACTCCGCCTCTAGATCCCCGATATCCGCATACCCGATCTCGTTGTCATTGAAGAGGGCGTCGATGTGCGCCTCTGAACTTTCCTGGCGATCTCGGCGTTCCGCATCCTGTTGCTTCCGGACTTCTCGGTTGGTCCGATCCCACTCCACTACGGCCTCGCGGATGAACTCGAATTGGTCGGGCACCGCGTCAATCTTGTTCTTGATGGATTTCAGTTTGGGATGCTGGAGAGCATTCAAAGACGGGTCGCTGGGTAGCAGAAACTGCAGAGCTGTGGTTGCTTGTTTCAGAGGGGGGCTAGCTTGCGCATTGGCTGGCGTCCCGACCCTTATGGCCAGAGGCGGTTCGGGTTTCGTGGCGTTGTCCCCTGGCCAGAATGTATTAGTTCCTCGCGGCGTCTTCTGCCTAACAGCCATGCTCTGCTTCCTGATCAAGCCAATGAAAGCTTCTTCATGTTCCTTTCTCCCAATGGCTGAAGATGGTCTGGCTGGGGCGAACAAGGTATCTTGCGCCATCAGCCGACCTGAGTCAGCAACCGAGTGCCGTAAGGAGGAATACGCCTGGTCTGCGGGCTGAAGAGATCTGCCCTTCTCGTCCTGAGCAGCCGCACTATAGCGGAAAGGAGTGTATACAGGCCGAGGAGGCTCGAATTTGATGGGTGCGACCGGCTTTTGATTCTGAGGCTGTTGTCGTAATGCTGCTCTAGGTGGCTCAGCTAAGACAAGCATCGGCGCATTCGCGCCTGGAGAAGGTGGATTGGGTGTGGAATAATCCTCGATAACCATGGGGGCATCAACACTGGGAGACGAAATAGAAGCCGAAAAGTTTTGGCGGTAGTGGTCCTGGGGAGGAGTGGTCACCGGAGACTGGGACTCTCTTCTAGCGACATGTTGGACTTTATTTATTCTCGGACGGCCCCCAGGACTGTATGCTTCTTCATCGAAATCCGTATTGGCTCCACTTGTACGTTCAGGGTTCAGACTGGGAACGGCGTCAACGGTTGTGCTGATAGATGGCCTTTGGGCAGGAGGCTTATCGTATATCGCCTCGACAGATTCGGTCTTCAACTGCTCTGCCGGGATGGCATTTCCAGCGACAGGATGACAAGTAGATTCTTCTTTTGAGACTGTTCGTGGCGAGAGTGCTTTCCGGACTGCCATGACTGGCGCTTCAGCGGCCTTCTGACCCACGTTGGCCTCCTCACCTGACCCTCCTAAGGGTGTTGGTTCAACGGCAGTCGGCAGAGCTGCCTGCATATCTGTCAGCTTAGCAGCCTTCGTGGCCTCCTTTGTTTCGTGGGTCAACTCGACTCCGTAAAGCAAACTTCTAAGACGGAGCTCCTTCAGAACGGAGGCCTGGAAGATCTTGAATTTCTCTTCCTCAGACTCAGCCGCTGACTCCTTCCTTAACATTGCGGCGTATCTGACCAATGATGCCTTAAATTCCGGTTCGAGGTCAGCATACGGATCAATCACTTTCACGCTGGTGGGAGTCTCGAGAGCGGTAACGGGTGGATAAGAGCGCGAGTCAGGCCGATCGGCCTGTTCTTGAATGGGTCGCGTTTGTAGAGGCGCGTTCAAGGCCTGGCTGATGCTATCATAATTTCCACTTCCGTTGGTAGATACATGACCACTAATCTGACTAGGAGAGGATGACCTGCTACTGATATGCGACAGGGATGTCGTGATTGGGGGGTTGGGCGAGTGAGCATGTGATTGTTTCCTTTTAGATGTTATGGGACTCGGAGCACCTATCTCAGCTGGAGTTCCGGGATCGGAAGCATTCGGTCCGGGGTTCAGCAAGGCATTTGGGTGAGTCGATAAAGGGCCTGTGGTATGGTGGAAATGGTCTCCCGGCGTGGCAGCTGGACTGATGGGTGTCTCCTCTGGGGGAACGCCAGGCTCATAATGCTCCCAATCAGATGGCCCACCAAAACTGAGTGCTGGAGCATGTCCTGGCCTTTCATATGCCCCCTCGGAGCCTTGGTTATTGTTCGTGGTCTGTGCGATAGATGGGTGCTTCTGTCCGCCCCAATGCCCATGGCTCGACTCAACAGGCGACACGAGCGGGCCATCGATTGTAGCAGAAACTGGCTGCGATGCCGGCGCTGTCGGGTGATATGTAGGAGCCGTAGATGTAATAGGCTGTGCACCCCATCCACTCTGCAGTTGTGGACTATAGTGATGAGAGGGAGGTAATTGGGAATATTCTTGATGCGGAGTGTTGTGTTGAGCCTGAATCAATGCTTGATATTCTGCCGGACGAGGAGGAGGCGGCGGCGGTGGGGTGAAGGTTGAAGCGTCTGGATGTGCGTGCGCATAGTATGGATCGCTCCATGTCGTCGGGAACTGCTGGGAGGATTGTGGTGTTTGGTAACTGCCAGCGTTCAGAGGCGCAGACTGAGAAGAGTTATTCGCGGCAGCGTGGTCAGGCTGTTGACTGATTCGACCGGTGGCACTCGGCGGCCGCGCAGGGAGAGGAGGTTTCGAGTCATAATGCTGAGCTACTGCTTGGTTGTATCGCACGCCCCATGCCGATGTATCAAACTGCGGTGGTGGTGGATGTTGAGCCGGAGGCGGAGGCGGAGGGGGAGGGGGAGGTGGCAGAGGTGGTCCCAACGCGTTTGGACCCAAATCGTAATGAGAGACGGGCGATTGAGGCTGATGCTGCGAAAACCTTGGGTCAGCCCATCCTGACCTTCGAGCAGGAGCTGTCCAAGGCGGCTGAGGAGGCCCTGGGGTCTGCTGCGGAAAGCTATATGGTTGATTGTATGGGTCCATGTTGTTGAGTCACAACGACGCCGCGGTCGCACAACCAAGTCAGTGGCAACGTCATTGATTGATACACTTGATTGAGAACTCGACGGTAGTAGTCTGCTGGGAAGTCTCTCGATGCCGGTCGCCGGCGACCAGCGATTAAGTCGACAGACCAACTCTTCGCGCCGGCGCAGATACGCCTCTCGCTGCCCCACGGAGGCTCAGCCAGTCAGTCAGTCTCCTTAGCCCCGTCAGCCTTATCGCGCCCAGCCTCGTGAGACCACGGCCGGCCCTTCAGTATCCGTGCGACAATCACTTAGGAAGCCACTGAATAATGGCAATCTGGTAATTACGTGCAGGTCACCATTCCTACAAGCTGGCGTATTCTGGTTGCAACAGAGTCTTCGGATACTAAATCGAATCTTTCCTAAAGCTACACTTATCCGCTCAGATCAAGGACAACCCTGCCCTGTAGTTTACCCTGCTGCATTCTTTCAAAGACCTCTGTTAGCTTATCCATGGGTTGAAGTTCGAAATGTGTTTTCAGGATGCCCCTCCAATATGTCAGCATGTCTTCGACCACTGGAGGTATGTGTCTGCTTACCGGGCCGCCATGGCCATTGTGTCAATGGCATCCTTTCTATTTCCCACTGCGCTGCCAACTATTCGCAGCTCCTGCGTCAAGAGCGTTCCTGGATTTGCGGTCGCGATCGGCACTGGACTACCCTCGGGGACTCCGACACACACCAGAGTCCCTCTGAATTTGAGGAACCGCAGTGCTTGAGCATAAGCGGCGTTGCTTGCGGTGCAGACCACCACCGCAGCGGCACCCAAGCCGCCGGTGGCTGCCTTGACATCGTCCACCAGTTTGTTGGTGCCCTCGTCGTCCCGGCTGTATCTGGATAAGTCAATGAAGACCTCGGCTCCACAGTCTCTGGAGAGGGTTTCTTTCTCGCCCATGTCGATCCCAATCATTCGAAAGCCCATTCCTCTAGCCCCGATCTGAAGGGCAAGGTGACCCAACCCGCCTCCCGAGCCCGGTATAACCACCCAGTCACCAGGCTTCGCTCCACTCTTGCTGAGAGCACTGAAAACCGTGATACCGCCACACATCAGGGGTGCTGCGACATCACTGGGGACGCCGTCGGGTATAGGTGTAACGTAGTGTGCCGGAGCAAGGGCATATTGTTGGAACGTTCCAGGGGTGTAATAGCCCGAGATCTTGACTGAAATGCAATTCGCATCAGCACCTTCCAAGCAAGGAACACAGATTCCGCAAGCAGAGGCCACCCATTTGATTCCCACCCGGTCGCCGGTTTTCAGTCCCGAGTTCTCAGTTCCAGGGCCCAACGCAACGATTTTGCCCACCCCTTCATGACCACCGACCTGGTCTTTTTGAGTTGGAAAGGGGAGCGTTGACCATGCATTGGTCATTACTCCAAAATCAGAATGGCAGCAGCCTGAATGCGTAAGGTTGATCAGGACTTCGCCGACGCCGGGCTTCGGGGTGTCAATCTCAACGACTTTTGTCGAGACAGTTCCGGGATTGTCGTACACAACAGCTTTGTGCCGGGAAGGTACTTGGACCGAAGCCATACTGACACAACTCCAGATAGCAGCGATAAGGACAATAGCTCCGCGTAGGGTCGTCAAACAGAGGCTTCCAAGCGGCGAACAGGTGAGGTAGACAGCAGAGTCCAAGAGCAGAGATAATGGGTTTAGGCCCCTTGCGTTCTATCCCAGGAGCCAGGACTTAAATATGTCTCCATCGCCATGTCTGGGAGGGGTAAGCACAGGGTCTCAGGCATGGTTGCCCCCGGATTGTCTTTTTCTCTCAACCGTAACCGACGTGGGCTTGTGGGGAAAGGGGGTCCAATCCTTTTCGAATCCGCCAGTGCCACTGCTGCGGTCATGTCGAGTCCGGGATCATGGTGTGGTCAAAAAGGAGGAGGAATGCTGACACAGCCCTGGATGACGGTTGCTGGGCTGGCTGGGTGAGAGGTAGGTAGTAATGTACGGATAGGAGGATACCTAGTAGTCTAGCCTCGGCTTGAGGAACCGGCAGATCTGGGGTGAGAGCATCATACATACTCATACCTAATTACCTGCGTACATAGGTAGTCTCAGCAGTCTTACCCCGCGGGGCGGAAAAGCTGCGCGCAAATTGTGTGCCGGCGCGTGAGCTGGCTGTGTAGCATCAAATACCTACCTGCATATACCACTAGTTCTAGTGGTAGATTTCCTTGAATGCCGAGACTATGGAAGCTCACAAAAGTAGACGCAGGTAGCAGGTAGCAGATAGAGAGTAAACTGCGGTCGGTATCTCCACGGTGGCAAGCCTGAAGTTAAGTCTGCGTAGGATATATGATATTTCAATGTCGTACTTAATCTATCATTAGGGAGAGATTGACATGCCTAAAAGCTATAAATGAGCGATAACAGGTCCAAAGATCAGTCAGGCAGCCAGGAGTGTGCCATTATTCCAGGGACCAAACAATGAATCAGCGCCTCGACAATATCGCCTTGATTCATACCTGAACCAGTCCATTTTGCATTGAGTCCAGTATTCATGTCTTGACGTGGACCTCGGGTAGGCGTCTCATCGCTTGCCACCACCAAAACTTCCTCCTCCATGGCTTCTCCCACGCCTGCTTGTGGTGGCGGTAGTGTCCTCAGGGTGGAGTGCCAATCGAGACAGCAGTATCAATTGTTGACTATGCTGCTGAACCTGGTCTGGTAACTGAATGGTGACCCCCGAACCCTGAGTAGAGCGTCGATAGTCTGCAATCTCTGCCTCATGCTCCTGGCGGCCAGGGTCCTTGGTGACAGCTCGTTGATAGTTTCAAGAGCCTCGAGCATGAAATCAGGAGCTCCTGGAGCTGGTTCATGGATCAACGCATGATAAAGGCTTGTCTCTGCTGCCTCTGATGCGCCGGCTGTAGGGGTGCGTGGGCTCCGACGCACCTCGGCAACCTCATCGTGGTTTCTGCACACTCTTGCAAGCACGTCCAGCAAAACATCTGCGGTATGCGCATGGCCTTCTGTTCTGAACTTCAAGTCGATGATGGTGGCTTCAGCCAGCTTATGAAACCTATCGCAGATTTGGCCGAGTGAAGCCCTGGTTCCTGCCGCAGTTCTCTGACCAGGAATGCTACCAAGATCTTCATATTTCTGGAATTGGTCTTCGAATAGTCTTCGTAGCTTTTCTGCAAAAAGTCTGGCCCGCGGGCTCGCCGGTTGCCATCTGTTCAGAGTCTCCCAGGATGCAGGGTCATGTGACCCCCATTGCATGGCCGTTCCTGTTAAATCTCCTTGACGTGTCCATTCAGATGACGCCCTTCCGGCTTGTTCCTCGTCTATTCGTGCGAAGATGTCTCCCCTAAACTCCAAGGGCAAGGTAGTGCGATCAAATGAAGAGATGATATCCCTGACATGGTGTTTTCTTTGCTCCAGCGTAGTGGATTGAAACCGCATGTCTTCTGGCAAGTTTAACTTCGCAAATTGTTCGGTCGGTGTTGACATCTTCCTCGGCCAGAAGGGTACTTGTCATGGGCTTCGGGGGACTTAAAAACACGTTCCAACAGTGAATCATCATGCTCACAGCGGGCCGAGCCATGAAATATAAAGACCTCAAGGCCATCGAGTTTGGTCAGGAAGGTCGTCTGGTGCGACCAACATGTCGACGAGGCAGAATTTCCCGTTTAGATCCACAGGAGCAAATCGAAAGGTTGAGAAGGGTGTGAAATGCAACATTTCGGTCCTCCGCGATAGAGCCCGGGCCGTAGCCTACGGTCAACCGTGCTTGGAGGACCGGGTTCCTCGAGGCGAGCCGGTGATAGACCAAGACTCTCTCCGCCATCTTCGACCGTAAAAGACTAGAAAACGAGTATTGCAACAGCTGTACGTACCATGGCAGTCCAGTGAGGGAGAAAAGTGGAAACGGGGGCGGATGATGAAAGGGTTGGCGCGTCACGTGACCAGGTCTGGTAATGGCCCGGCGGCTACTCAGGGGGATACCATTGGCTAATGTCCGACATACTGGCACCGCCATGTCGAAATCACACACATGAAGGCGGCCAGCTGGACGCAACGAGGGGCCGATTTCTGGTTGCAGGTAATATTGCATGTTCCGCGGGTTGCGAGATTGGTGACTGGAGCGTATTTCGCGAAATGCGCCTCATCGGCCGTTGGGAAGCCAGCGCTGTCATATGAGACTGGCATTTTCCGATAGCAAGGCGGACTGAGGCACGTATAGATTGCAGTAACAGGGGTGCCAGGCCAACCAACATGCATACGAAGGGTCATAGCCCAATAGTAGCTGTCAAAGAGGGTTGCGGGATGTGATCGGAGCATCCTCACTTTTCCGCTTCCCACAATTTCGGACCATTGTAGGCCTATAGTCTCTGTTATCTCAATGGAGGACACAGCAGACCTGGGTATTGTGGATTCCTCCGGCGCCGCTCTTGTTGCGATTTCCTGGGTGCAAACTGTGCATCGTGCTGCGGACTAGGGAATGTGATGTCCCGGTGGTGATGTTACCGGCTCCCGTAGCTGCAAACATGCCTGATAAAGGCCTGGACTAGAGCAGAGGGTGGGAAGGAACGAGCCCTTCTGGTCTGGTTACGACCACTTTGACTGCAACGGTCCAATTGTAAATTCCTCCTTTCAACATCTGCAAGTGGAAGCTAGTACTCCCAGAAGGACGTAGTATTCCCTGACCAGCGGTATCCTCAGCCAAGACAGGGCGATCGACGCAGGGATGGGTCAATATACCACACAGATCTTGTGCTCTTCAGCTAAGGCCGTCCTAGTAGGTTTGTAGACTCGGAATTCAGGCTTCCGGTGTGATTATTCAATCACCGCAAACGGCCTATATCGGCCGTACCAGAGGCCTAAAAGGAAATCCAGTCACCCTAGCGAGAAATCCATACCTTATCCTTTCTCAATGGTGATAGCCAGGACGAGCACGAACATGGAGAGGATGACCTGTGGTGGTCAGACGTAAGCGTAGGAAAATGCGCAGCAGGCCAATTGACCGACCAAAGTGGTAAGTGTTCCGATGCATTTGATCTCCCAACCACCAGATACAGCATAGCCTCGAGCCATTTCCTTTTGACATCGGAGGAACCTGAGAGCTCCAAGCGTAGATATAACTATTGCCGTCCCAAGGCAGACGCAGGACAAAGGTACGCTGACGACGAAAAACCCAATGATTGGATTGGGAGCAAGACTGTGTTGAATGCGCAGTACCTGGGCAACGATGACTCCCAAAACGGCAAATGCCTGACCAGTGCGAACATAGCTTAGGTACGTTCTCTCATTTGCTGGGCTTTCGTATTAGCTAGATACATAACCGGCCACAAATGTGGCCCGTTGGGCAGGAGTCAAGCAGCCTGTTCATTCTCTGGACCCTTACCTAAATGGTCACGGCACTTAGTGTGAGGCACACCTATTACGATATGTCTCCTCCACCATCTTGAGAGTTTGCTTTCGCTTTGAGTTGTGCTTGGTACGGATTGTAGGGCCAACGACCGGGAGAGGGTGAGGTCAAGTTCTAACGCTTCTTGCTCGGAAGGATTTGCAAGGGTGCGCTGGGCGGGAGAAACGAAGTCGTGACCTGAAGTGAGTTCAGCCATTCAGACAGTCACAGCAACTGCCTAGACCAGTGTAGCGAGGGCGATGGCTACGGCTGTTGTATGCCTAAGGGCTTCTGTGGCTGCGACGAGATCGTCAAACAACCATGAGGTACTCCATACCTCACGCAGCCGAAGGAAGCGGTGGCTCGGATTGCAAACGGGACAGAAACCGGCTGCAGAAGAAGTAGTTTAGGGCGCAAAAAGCAAGGAAAGTGAGCGACCATTCACCATATGATGCGATGGCCCCCCGGAGTAGAACTGATATGAAGCAGGGATGTTAATTATTAGTAGAAGAACTGCTGGAGGGAACTTCGGCAGAAACCCGATCCTGGCTAGACCCAAAGCCAATCAGAACAACTGGTGAGAACACTCTGGTGCTGCTTTAATGTACGATGACGGCACACACCGCCTAAATGCTACCAGCACTTGACTATGTACCTAGTAGTGGGAATCGGGGCAGTGGGGGATGCCGAAGGTGCCTAAGTTCACAGGCGCCGGGGCTAACTAAGATACTCCTTAGGCCCCTTAGCCTGCCATTATTGGCTCCCGGGCAGATCATTGCCTTGCCAGCCACCTGCCAGTGCCAGGCTTCTCGCCAACAGCCATGTGGTGGTGGTGTTGCCCGCCATGGCTAACCTCCCACCCTCCGGCCCGGCCGAAATCTCAAGGCCTCCCAGCCTCCTCTGACAAGGACTATGCGCTCCTACCAACGTTCAGCAACCGAACCAACTTCGCATCTCTTTCATCTGAACTCCGTATATAGTTCCCATAAGCCGGACATATCCTTGTCGACTCCTTTCATCTCGTGAGGCTCGTCTTGCCTGTCTCCCATCTTCAAGAGCCTTATTATAGCCAACCCCGCATTGGAGCCGTCAGGCTTGGGTGTGGTATCGCAGAGACGGGAGTCAGTCAGTCGCCAGCCCAGCACGGACTGCAATTCGCCCTGCGCTCGACCTACCTTGACCGCGACCATCCAGTTTTTTCGCGTCACCAGAACTCAAGATGCTTGGAGGTCTCCTCTTCTCCTTCTGGAGGATCGCGGAGATTGTGACTCTGATTCCGATCATTGGCATGCTGGTACGGGCTGTCTCCAGCTTCGTATCTCTCCAACCGCTAACAACATTTCTAGGCATGGTTCGTTGACGGATTCAACCACAACAACCAACTCACCCCATCCTTTATTCTCGTCCTCTTCATCGTTTCCATCTTAGCCTGCGCATGGGCCCTTGCGACCCTGATCCGTCTCGGATCCACCCGTCGATCCGCATTATTTGTCGCTTTCATCGACCTCTGCTTCGTCGGCGCCTTCATTGCGGCAGACTACTACCTCCGGGGCATTGGGGATGCCAACTGCGCGAGCTTTGATACTGGCTCCATCTACGTTGACCTTGGTCCGTTTGGATATTATGGACGGAACAGTGGTTCGTCATGGGCGCTCCACCTCAACAAGAACTGTGCCATGCTGAAGGCTTCTTGGGCTCTGGGAATCATGAATACCGTCTTCTTTTTCTTCACATTTATTCTGGCTCTGTTCCTCCACCGCCATGAAAAAACTGTCGTGGTAAAGGAGGTCAGGAGATCCAGACATAGCAGCAGGAGAGGCCATTCTCGTTCAGGGTCTAGGAGAAGCAGCAGTCGTCGTCGTTACTATGTCTAGAGACCCGGAGGGGATGGCTTTCGTTAGTGTTCACAGGAAGCTACTGGAGCACTGAACGAGGAGCTGAATCGATATATACGGGACTCACGAATTTCCTTACTGTGGACTCAACGGCATCGACAAGTCCTGGTCGTCTCTGGTTACCACCAATGTACTAGCGACCCGGCGGATCTGGTTAACACTTTGATGACTATGTTGGATGCTGTGTGGCGATGATGGGATTGGATAGGTGTGTGATTGGAGCGGTCGATACGCATTACGGAGTACCTTGCGAGCTTCCACAACAGATTAGAAATGTGAAGGCAGAACATACACTGTTTCACTGCTTCTCCTTCCAGTTGCAATAGTTACAGGAATCTGATTCTTCGTGCTTTTCTGTGCTATCGGCGAGACAGGAGAACCCCAGCAACTAGTAGCAGGGGCCAAGTCGAGGACGGTTTAGTCCAGCCTTGCGCCCAGAAAAGAGGCAAGTCAGCTTGGTGTCCACATCTTGAAAGTGTCGACCTCTTAATAGCCGGTAAGCCTACTTTCGTACCTAGGGACTGAGAGAGCGGGTCTCCCATTCCTCCGAGAGGCATGCCATCAAGTCTGTGAAGCAATAATATCTCCTTTATCAACGATTTCGACCCAAGACCCGGAGCCGATAAGGGAACTCCGCACCAATGAGGGCTCGTGCATTCAATCGTCGGAGGTGGCCGGTCCTGCTACTTGGATTTCGTCGCATTCGGTCATCTCCCCCACATTCGATAGGCCATCGTTCTCACCTCGTACGCCGAGTCGTACATCACTGGGAGTTCTTTCTTCTGCATTTCTCTTTCTACCGTCCAACAAAAGGGCGCATATTGGCAGTCTCAGCGTCCTTGCATCTCCCTCACCCCGTCAAATGAGATCAATGGGCGTCGCAACCACGCCTCACTCGAGAAGCCGATGTCGAAGGACCTTGGAAAATTGGCCACCTTGATGGACACAAGCGACGCCACTTCCTCGGAGGCTCTCTCTTGCACCGCAACTACAATTGACCCTGACACTGGCTATTTCGTGAATATCGACGAAATCCGAAAAGCCGAGTATCCTGTCCTTGCGGAGACTACGTATCTCGACCATGCCGGAACAACCTTATACGCAAAGAGCCTCATCGACGCTTATTCGAAAGAGCTGACCAGCAACCTTTTTGGAAACCCGCACTCGGCTTCCGCCTCGTCGCAACTCTCCTCTCGCCGAATCGACGATGTACGCCTTCAGGCTTTGCGCTTCTTCAATGCCAACCCCGACGAATTTGACATAGTCTTTGTTGCCAACGCCACCGCGGCTATCAAGCTTGTCGGAGATGCCCTTCGAGACCACGACAATGGTTTTAGATATCACTATCATGGCGAGGCTCATACCAGCCTCGTCGGTCTCAGAGAGGTCGCTGGTCTGGGTAGTACCTGCTTAGCCACCGACGAGAAGGTTGAAGATTGGCTGGGCAGCGTCGAGTGCGGAGTCAGAGGGCAACATGGGGACGTGTCGCTGTTTGCATACCCGGCTCAATCAAACATGACTGGTCGAAGACTCCCACTGCAATGGTGTCGAAGAGTAAATAATGTAAGATTGTCATCGGGCAATCCCATCTTTACTCTCTTAGATGCCGCTTCTCTTGTGTCAACAGCTCCTCTGAATCTGTCTGACAGCGTTGCGGCACCCGACTTCGTTGTCTTGAGCTTCTACAAGATTTTCGGCTTCCCGGATGTTGGAGCTCTGATTGTACGCAAATCTTCTGGGCAAATTTTACGACAACGCAAGTACTTTGGGGGTGGTACTGTGGACATGGTGACAATGTTTGGTGACACCTGGCATGCAAAAAAGGAATCGAGGCTGCACAGCTGTCTCGAAGACGGAACGCTGCCGTTCCACAATATCGTTGCTCTCCAACTGGCCTTTGACGTTCACAGAAGACTCTATGGAACAATGAGCAACGTTTCTAGACACACAACCTTGCTTGCGTCAGTCCTACGCCGTCGACTGCAAACCCTACGGCACGGAAACGGATTGCAGGTCTGCACTATCTATACTGGTGACTTCGCGGCCAAGAGCTCCCAAGGCCCCGTAATCGCCTTCAATATAAGAGACATGCAGGGGAGATACATCAGCAACTCTGAAGTTGAGAAGCTCGCGACAGTGAAGAATGTGCAGTTCAGAACTGGCAGTCTCTGCAATCCCGGTGGAATGGCGTACCATCTAGGACTGTCTGCTGACGAGATGCGGCGGAACTATATTGGTGGACAACGATGTGGAGATGAAAACGACATCATTGGAGGGAAGCCGACAGGGGCAATTCGACTGAGTCTGGGACCGATGAGCAATATGACAGATGTGGAAATCTTGATCAACTTTATTCAAGAGTACTTTGTGGACTCATCTCCGCCACCGAGGACATTAACACCACAACATTCTGTATCAAACTGCCGGTCTGGCTCATTCGTCGTGGAGAGTCTGTCGGTCTTCCCAATCAAGAGCTGTGCGGCCTATAAAATCCCGTCCCATACTCCTTGGGAGGTGGGGTTGAAGGGTCTCGCATGGGATCGAGAATGGTGTCTTGTCCATGAAGGGACCAACGTTGCCCTGAGCCAGAAGCGGTTTCCACGGATGGCTCTCATCCGTCCCGAAATTGACCTGCGAGATCGCGTGCTCAGATTGTCGTTCGGCTTGGGACCTTCGACTACTCGGCAATTGGCGATTGGTCTTGACTCGAGCCCAACGCCGAGAGCTTATCACAAGATGTGTGAAGCCACCACCAGCAAGTGGTCCAGTGTTTGTGGTGAGGATGTTGATGTGCAGGTTTATACATCTGGAGAAGTGTCGGGGTTCTTCACGGAAGCACTGGGGGTGCCATGCACCCTGGCACGGTTCCCGGATAACGGCATCGTTCGACAGGCGAAAGTACGGGTACCTGGATCTGGAGGGAAACAAGCCACCACACCGGGCAAGTCGATTGCGCTCTCAAACGAGAGTCCTATTCTCCTCATATCACGGTCAAGCGTAAATCGTCTAAATGAGCAGATCAAGCACAATAGCGGTGCTGGCAAGGCCGTCTCCGCCGACTCTTTTCGGGGAAACATTGTGATTGCCGAAGAGCTCCATGGCGGACAACTGGAGATGCCGTACGCCGAGGAGGAATGGAGCAGCCTTCAAATTGGCAATGATCCCGCCCAGTCGTTCGAGCTACTCGGCCCTTGTCAACGGTGCCAGATGGTGTGTGTTGACCAGACGAGTGCTCAGCGAGGACAAGAGCCTTTCAGTACATTGGCAAAGACGAGACGGAGAGATGGGAGGGTCTGGTTTGGTATGCACATGTGCCTATCGTCAGATCCTGCCCGAACATCAGTCCAGATAAAAGCTGGTGACAGGGTGACAGCTTCCAAACACACAGAATAAAAGTTCCCGGCGTAACATTGGTCGGTCTAGGGGGGGAGAGATCTGTCTCTATTGTGGTTCTACCTGTGTAGACAGACACATTATAGAATACTTGCAGTACTAGATACTCTATGTGTGAGGTACCTACCTATAGGTACATGTACATGATGTACTTCAAGTTGTAGTAACAATGCCGCCAAGAAGCCTTTGCACCGAAATGGACACCCCGTGACCTCGGGAATCAGCCATAAGAGTCTCTGCCCGCTTTTCCTCGTCTCTATTCTTCCCTCAAACAACACACACACTCTCTCTCGTCCTCTTCCCTCTTCTCTTCTTTCTCTCGTGTTCTTCTACAGATCTCCTGGTCCTTCTCCTTCCTGTACGTACAGGCACACCAGCGGCTGCTCCCTCCCACCTTCTCTGTCTCTCGCCGCTCAGTTAAAGCGTGTGCTCAACGTGTGGCCGACAACGTTCTACATGGCAGCACTCTAGAGCCGCCATTATCTTGCTGTCGACTTCTGTGCAGTCCAGCCTGGGCAAGGCGTCTCTCCATATCAGCAGTCAAGTTTCAAGAGAAGCCAATAGATTGAATTTGTCAAAAAGACTTGCTCTCAGATCCCCGCTAAGCTCGTGCACTAATCTCGGCGTGTCGTTTAAGTACAACTTCTCGCAAGATCATCGCAAGCTCTTCGCTCGCAGCAATACCCCCTGCAGCACGCAACTATGTCGAAAATTGGAACTAGATACAACACAGATCCCCAAGCAGCCCAGCCTGATCTGACGTTGCAATCAGCGCTCAATGTCGTTAAGATTAAAAAGAAAGAAACTCGTGTCGGCAAACTTCATTTCCATCGTCCCCCATCACTCGATGGCATCCTCCGACTGGAATCGTGCCTTCTTTCGCGCCTGCACCTTCAAATCATCGCTCAGCAAATGTGCTTCGCCATCGGTGAAGCCTACGGTGACCTGGTTCTCGTCGACGATTTCACGAAGCATTGAATCAAGGAAGGCCTTTTGTTCAGCAATGAATGCCTTAGTCGCCGCAGTATTAAACCCACGACGACCTCGCTTCTGGTCACGAACTTCTTTGAGATGCACCCGGATTCGTTCTTCCAACATCTCGAAGCGATATTCTGCATACTGAGAATAAAGCTCAGAAAGATCAGAAATGGCTCGGACCGTGGTAAGAACAGTGTCGTCTTTGATGAAGGGAGATTTGGGCCTGAACGAGGTCACCATCGTGATGCGTTCAGAAGTGCCTAGAGCCCTCAGCGCTTGGTGTTCAATGTACCGTCCCTGGAGGATGACGGCGCTGCCCTGTAATAAAATGTGAGCCCCACGAACGGACATGGCTGACTGCTGAACTCACCATGCCTGGCCCTCGAACTTTCATGATTTCACCATCACCCTTTCGCAACGCAGTCTCCCCACCGATCATGTTGGTGCAGTCACTTAGCATCGTCACACAGACAAAGGGATAGCTGTCAGTGTGCCAATCGACGATGGGCTTGTCATCCTCATATGGACAACCAGAGACACCTTCATCCGCATCACGCTGCACCTTTTCTTGCAAAGCTTGTTTGATGGCCTCCGTCTGATCCTCGGTGTTGGTGGAAATGTTAATGTGAGCAATTTCAAAGTCCATTGCCGGAACCAGCTCAACGCCTGCAATCTTGGACACAATCGAGAGTAATGCTGGGCTGTGCCAGACGTCGTACACGAAGGGTGCATATCTAAATCCTTTCAGTATCTCATTGCTGTTACAAGATCACAGGAACTTACTCTGGGGCGAACCCTCTCAACTGGCAGTGCGCCAGGTTGCTGGAGTACTTGCAGTTCTCAAGAACGGGCTTGCTCAACACCTCTGCTCTCATTGTTTGAATGGCTTCCTCGGTGAAGAGAGTGAAAGGCTCTGACACAGCAATGGGAGACACCCCCTTCTCAGCCATGCCAATCTCTTCCATGGTCCAGACCTTTTCGGGGTGCTTGAAGTTGAGATGCTTGGCTGGATCGAAGGCCATCGGTCTTGAGAGGGTGGGAGCCATGCTGATCGACGATCGGGACGCTACTGAACTTGATCTTTTTCTCTTGATGGTGCCAAAGGCGGATGATGGAGGAAGAAGTACGTCGGCAGAAGCCATCACGACGATGAGAGATGAGACGCTTTAAATAAGGCGTTGCTTGAAGAGAGGCAGTCACTATGGACCGGGCAGTTATATATAAGAGTGACTGCAAGTCAACAGTTGACTGGCGGTAAGTGGCAAGTGAGGATATGGACTTTGACTGACTGATGTTGTTGTGAATTTACAGTGGCAATGTCGCAGACTTGTATTGAAGCAAGCCCCCTTTAATACTTCGGCACACGTCAACTATCCTTGGTAAGTTAATGGGATCCTGGGTGAAAGTCCAACCTCAGGAGGGTCGGCGGCTTGGACTTGGGAAGCTTCTCCATTCTCCTGGTCGCAACCACTCATGAACCAACGGCACATCTCCACCAGATAGGAATGATGAGGATGCCTGGGAAGAAACCCAACCTAAGTCACCCCAAGCGTGGCATTCGCTCGGCCTGCGGTGCCTTATCAGCTGCTTTATCACGATCGCCTATCGGTAGCTCTTGACGGAGCTCTATGGTGGATATATCACCTTCACAGTCGCCCTTTGATCGAAGCTGGGGACAACGGAAGTATGTGGGGATTATTGATCAGAACAAGGCCCAAGCCTTTTCCTTTTGTCATGCATGGAAATTGTTGCTTTGTTTGGACTAAAACCACTGCCAGTGCCGTTTCAATTTACTGCACAGAGTCTGTGAACGACTTGATCCATTTCACATGTGCGCACCTTCAAGTGACTGCACGCTACTAAGAATCACAGCTCCCGTACACACAGACATGCAGACATGCAGACAGTGAAGGCGGATGGACAGGCAATCCGACAGATTCACAGAGCATGTTCACAAACTTTCGTGTCTCAAACGACTTTGATATGAGGCGGGCGGCTATATATCGAAATTGGGCACTGCAGCCGACTGCAGCGGATTGGGACAGCTCTTACGGAGTACAATGTCGGTGAGCGCGCGTTTGACTTCTCGTGATCATAATGCAAGTTGCAGCCACCCGAAAGTGACAAGGGGTGTCACTTCTCGAACATGTGGACAACCCCGCTGAGCGATGAGCATGTATGGATCTATTGACCGAAACAGGTATCGTGTCTGATGTCCAGGCAAATTGACTAGGGACATGGTTGGCTAGTGACAATACGATCATGGCTCTTGATTGTCTTGGGCACGCTATGTTCACTTGACGACGGCCGCTGACTTTCCTTCGGTCGATCTGGGCTCTCGGCTCACAACGGTATCTGAGCAGTGCATCGTTCAGAGGCCGGATCGACCTATTTGACAACTCCACGAAAAGGCCACGTCAGACATTCTGTTGTTCAGAGGCCAACGATGACCAACAGACGGTAGATTTACATGGGAGAGCCACCATGGGAATGATCGACATCGATCATCTTTCGGTCTGAATCACCATCCAGAGGCGAGTCGGGATTGCAACCACCTGGCTGCCAGAGCAAGTCTCGTCCCAGGAGGCTTCCAAGGCGTTGATGCTGGCAGGCTGTGACGAAGCTTTGAGGATGTAAGCATCTTGCGTGGGAAGTGGGCGTTGACGAGGGTGCTGTGGGTGTGTAAGTGCTTGACTTGTGCGGTTCAAGACGGAACTTGAAGCCTGGTTCAAAGTCGCAGGCAAGTTTATGGTGGGGTAGAAATAGCAGCACCTAAACCTTATCGATAAGACCCTTCCTAACCCTAACCCTTCGTCCTAAACCTGGGAAGCGCGAGCAAAGAAGGTTAGCCGCATGTTCGATCGCCGCCCTGCATCTCGACTGCATTTGTCCACAGGAAACATCGCTTTAAACACAACGACATGGCAACTTCGGCGCAAGCAAGCCAGGAGTCTGGCCCAGCCGCCCAGGACGAAGCCTGGGAAAAGTCCAAAGCAACCTTTGAGAAGTACGCGGGCAGTCCCTGGCGATCATGTTGAAGCCGGAGCTGACCAAGCCGCCATTCGCAGGAAGCGCAGCTCAGAGTACTATGATCCTTGTCAAGACTTCGCAAACAGGAGTATAAAATGCATGCATAGGAACAACGGAGACAGAGACATGTGCCAGGACTATTTCCAGTACGTCCACAGCTCCATATCCACCTCCGACACCGACGGCGACGGCGGGCAGTCACATCATTCATTCGAACACTCGATGGCGCATGGATAGTTGTACTTGGGGCTAACAAGAGCATGGTGACAGGGCCTACCGTGATTGCAAAAGGGAATGGGTACTATGGCATTCCTCTTACATCCCTTCAAACCATGCTTACATGTTAAGTAGATGGCCAGACGAAAAGCAGAGAGAGGTTCCTGGTTCAGTTGACGCGCCAGGGCCGGTTACATCTACATCGACATTCGGAACCTAAGGTAACTGGAGTTATGGTACATAAGAGACAAAAGTCCTAGCCCAAAAAGCATGGCGCGGCATTAACGACGACAAATCGATACCCTGATCAGACGGGTCGCTTCTGCAGCGCGGCTCGACTGACAGTTTAGTATGTAGTGTACGAATAGTCCTAATAGGACCTTGTAACATAGAAAGAATACATCCGCTCAGCAATAGGATTTCCAGTACAATGTATGCATGCTGTCGGGGTCCAATTGTATCGTGGTGCCACGTTCGATTGCGCTTCGAGCCCTTCTGAGTACCAGGCAGGTGCCCAGTGAGCAACATCAGATCTATGTCCACATTTCCCCTCATCAACTTTTTTTCTTTGACAACACCCGGGCGAGACACGGGCTCGATCATGTCCGACCCGACTGTCAGTGAGCGTCGAATCCGTCCTATTCAGGATGCAGTTGCGAGTGCGAACTGGAAGCAGGCACTTCAGCTGTGCGACAAATGGTCCAAGAAGGGCGAGAAGTCGGATAGGTTTCTGGTACCAGCTCTCCACAATCTCGAGACTCATGTCCTAACTCGCGTAGGCTCTAAAAGCCTTCGTCCTCGTTAATCAACCCGACAAAGCCCAGCATGACCGAGGGCAGACCGAGGTGCTTGACTTGTGCAAGCGAAGTCCCGCCGTCACCGACCCTGAAGCCATCTACCAGCTTCAAGATGCGCTCAAGAGTCTGTCGCTGCGAGACGAGGGGCCCAAATTGTGGGAAAGGGCGGTGACAGCGAAACAAAATGACAAGGATCTCTATATGAGATGGCTGAACCAAGCTGTTCTCGACAACAACTGGATCAGCGCTCAAAAGGTGTGAAATCACGGCCACTTTGTATCAGTGCAAGAGACGGACTGACATGGGGCCCATCCGACAGGCCACCATGGGGTTGCGAAAGTCCTTTCCAAAGGAAAGAAACTACGAATTCTGGAACATCATGATGTGCCATTTGATACACATGCAGAACGACCTCCCGGAGAAAGAAAGGACGCTCTTCGGAACCCTTGCATACCGGATGATATCCAAGGCAGCAGAAACTATCCTGCCCGACCAGGTTTGTCCATCGTCTGTATTATTATCTCTCAAGTCTCACTATGGTTAGGAGGATGGACTCGCTTCTGGGAAGGCGATCTCGACACCGGAAGAACTCGCTCTGCTCGTTCAAGTCTTCAATTCAACCAACCGATCAGCAGAGACTGTGAAACTCTTGCAAGGCAACTCACTGGGGATTGGATCATCGGTCGGCAAACAGGACCCCCAGCTTGTTTTGACTTTGCTCCTTGAATCCCTGGAACTATCAGGGCAATGGGATGAAGCCCTCTCCTCGTGTCACAACCTTCTTTCACAGCCGGAATACCAGTCGGATGGCCGGATCTGGCAGCTATGGCTAACGGCGCTGTCAAAGCTCCCTGCTGATAGGTATGTTTTACTGAAGTGGTGGATGGCTTGCGCTGCTAATACTGGTCCAGGTTTGAACAAAAATTCCAAGAACTACTAGACTCTGTTTGTCGCATCAACCCCCCAGTCCGAGCCGCATATATGGCAAAAATGCAATATCTGCGAAGCCGGGGGGGCGAAACCGAACTGGATACCTTGCTGCAGACCTGTAAAGACTACTCGCGCGCCTTCTGTCAGAAAGCGTTCTGTTTCGATGACTTGACAGAGTCTCTTCGACATCTTGATAAACCCCGACTTGACGATTTTACGAACTCCTGTTCCGAAGAAGATACTCTCTCACAACTGTTTCGACTGAAGCTCGCATATAGTTCTTTACCTGCCGATGTTTCACGAAGAGATCTGCTAGCTTTCATATCTCAAGCATTGCAACTCTACCAAGTATCGCTCTCCGATTCCAACGGTTGTCCGGAAGCAGCTATTTTAGCTGTAATGGCCATATTGAAGCTGTCATCTGTAGGAGAAACACGAAGCACCTTCTTCGCGGTTGTTCTCCTTCAAATTGCCCGGTCCAGGTTTGAAGATTTTTATCTGTTCAGTATTCTTCTTGGGCAGACACAAGCCCATTCTGGCCTGCTATCTCTGGCACTGGAAACTTTCACCAGACTCAGTATCAAGAACCTGCAATTCGAATCGGTGGGCCATCTCATCATGACGAGGATATCCTCACTACATCCAATGCCAAGTGCTCCAGGAGATGACATATACGATCCACTCAGAATCATTGACACCGGTCTAACAGTCCTGGAGAATGCAGACATTGCTCTCGTGCGTGGAATTCGCGAAGGTTTGAGATTTAATAGTTACTCCAACATCTACAACAGCGTCGCGATGCGATCCGATATCGAACGAAGTCTCAATCGGCAGATCTATGCCATCGAGGAGCGAAAGCTGAGACGGTCTCTAGGGCTATCAGAGGAGACCGTGCTGCCACCTGGTCCTTCCACTCTGGTGGACAACAGAGACTTCAGCTACTTGCCATCTTATCGTCCCGACGATTCGGAGCTACTGGCCCGTTTTCGATGCGGTCCGCTGCCCAAGGAGAAATGGATCCTTGCCATGGCGCTGTGCGACAACGTCGCGACCTATCTTAAAGCAGAACTCGTTTCGCAGACACCGCTGGCGCTGCAGGCATTGGAGACTCTCAAACAATCCCAGCTTAATCTGGAGAGACTCCGCGAGGAAATGGAGACGGAATTAACCACGGCAGAAAGGTGGAGCTTTCAGTGTCATCAAATGCTTTCTCAGGCAACCATTCTGGTAAAAGAAGGCACTGCAGTCAAAGACAATATTCTCGGGCTTCTTGAGGAGCTCAAATCCAGGCTAACCACAAGGCTGACCGAGCGCAAGAACCGGCAACCTGGTTGGACACTGGCAGGCGTCCGGATACCGATATGGGAGGATCTCCATACGAGCCTGACCGAGCTGGAGACGGTGCAAGTCATTGCCATGCTGCTGGCTGTTCTGGCCAAACGGCCCAAGTCGAAACCCAAGGCCTTTGCCGTACCACAGGAGACGCTGACGGAGCTCCAGAAGCTGGTCGTGGAAATAGAGCGTGCGGTCCACGACGATGCGCGGGACCTGAAGAGCCAGATTAATGCGCCGGGCGTCCTAGGCAAATTGGTAGACACGGGGCTGGCCAGGGACGACGCCGGCGACCTGGCCGAGTTGGCAGCTCTGCTGGAAATGCTGTGCGACGAAGTCACGATGGAGACGATCTGCGGAGACATGAAGGAGAGCTGGGATGATGCCTTGGATGGAGTTCTGGCCGTAAAAGTCAAGTTCTACAAGTGAGTGTGGATAGAGAATGTGACTTTGACCTTGATCAAGTACGTCAACTCAGGAGCGCCGAACCAGGCAAGGAAGTTAAATTGGCACTGCGAAACATGGATGTCGGAAACGTCTCTTGTTCGTTTCGCCAGGTCAACTGGGCTTCTCATTGCCTAACAGCTTATTATGACTGTATAACCCGACGAAGGACGATGACCCAGGTTGATCGAGGGTCCCGGTCACCTTGATCATTCTTTGTCTCCGCGCAAACGAGGCCGACCCCGTGCCAATGAGTCTGCTTTGCCTATCCCTCTTCCGTAGATGACAACGCCTTTTGCATAATGCTAACAGCCAAAACCATGGTTTTATGTCACTAATCCTGTCGGCCCTTCAGTAACCGCTTTGTGACCTTGTCTTTCTCGATGATATAGACGTGTGCGCCCCAACCGGACAGAGCGTCTCGGTCAACGGCGTTGAGGAGAGCCTGGGAGATGGTTTCGAAGAGATCTTCCGGTGACTGTGATGGAGGTCAGCATCATCAGACAAGGACTATTGTTAAGGGAACTCGAACCAGATCCGGCTCCCATAGACCTTCACAGGTTCCAAATAATTGCTCGCTCGCTGTACCCGCCACAATGAAATCCTTTGCAAAATCAATGCAGCCTATGCTGTCGAACCCGCAGATATACGGCTTCCCCGTGGTATGATTGATGCCAGCAAGGACAGGGCTGACAAACCATGGGCCAAACCGCTTCTCGTACAGACTGCTCGAGACCAGGTTGGCAAGGGTCTGGGGTGAAATGTTCCGCTCCTCGCGCAGTCGGTACATGTTGACTTTATATCGGAAAGTGTCGCTGACGGTCTGGACGTCCGTAGCTAGACCCGTCAGGCCCAGGTACACGGCCGGTCCGTAGCTGAAGATCTTGGGGAAGTTGTTCGAGACGGTCAACGCTTGCAGACCGAGGCGCAGGTCGCAGGCGATGGCAACGCAGTCTTTGCCCACCATTGCGACGCAGGCGCCGCCATCTAAACGGAAAAGAAAGAAAGCTCAGGTTAGGGCCGGTATACACTTCGGAAATGGGGTAAGGGCAGAGGGTAGGGCGTACTGATGTCGAAAGGAGAGCTCTGTTAAGGACGTAGGTTAGTTCCGAACGCTGATCTGATAGGTGGGAGGGAGTCATTGGAGCAGCTGCAACGCACCATCTTGAGGGAATAGTCTGTATTATTATCTTTGGGGGTAGAGGCCAGGGGCGAACTGAACTTCAGCAGCGGAAAATGAAGAAAGCGTGCGAGGAGGAATCGTCAATCTCGAAGTGGGACGTAACGACCAGGTCTCAGTCCTCTAGCAGGCATATGAAGCAAACGCGTTCAGGCGAGGCTCAAAATGGGATTGGCACCGCGGGCGAATTACTTAAGCAGCCTGGCCAAGGCCAATCAATAGGCGGCACCCCTTAGGTGGCAGTATGACGCCGTCAGGCTGCGCCTGTCTGCGACCCTCCATCTTCGCCGTAGTGGCAGTACACCCGCAGTCAATCTAAACAAACGATTAGATGAGCAGACCTACCACCTTTCTAGACTATTCTATCCCCGCCATTTCCTTCTGGATAGGCGTCTGTTGATACCGTTCTGCATGCCCTTACCTTAAAGTGAATTCATAGCGAGAAGAACAGCTCCTTGTGTCTGAGTAACTCCCCCAGGCTCTCCGCCTCTCCAAGGCAAGATGGCCTCGCACGTTGTCGTGATCGACTCGACCGCTCGAAGATCGACCATCAAAACCACTCCAAACAAAACTCTCAGCGAAGTCCTAGAAGAGGCGTGCGGCAAACTCGGCTTGAATGCCGCGCAATATGGCTTGAGGTAAGTGCCTATCCTTAGCCATTACTACGATTCCGGGATTCTGACAAGCCTTACAGACACAATAATAAGCAAGTCGACCTCTCTAGATCAATACGCCTCTCTGGACTGTCTTCAGGGGCAAAACTCGAACTCGTCCAACTGTCCAAATCCGCAGGTGTCGTGTCGATTGCCCTCCAATTGCCAGAGTCCGAGTCGAGAGGACTCCCCAACGCCCGACTCACAGACAAGTTCCCCAGTTCCACAACCGTGTGGCTAGTGCTCAGGAAATTTGAAGCCGGAGTAGCAGGAGGAACTAACCCTCCACGGAACTTGACCGCCAGAGGTGTTGCGTCTACGCAGGATGGCACTTCAGGTGCCGGAAGATTATACTATGAACAGCCTGTGGTGCAGGTCATGAATAGAGAGTTGTCGTCCTTAACGGACCTACAAAAGTCACTGGCACAGCTTGGTTTGAACAGCGGGACTGCATTGCTGAGGTTAAGTTTCAGGCCTACTGACACTCCGTTGGAAGAAGCCATGGTTCAAATTCAAGGCTACTTTGACTCTGTTGAGGGGCCCGCCATTGAAAGAACAGAGACACAAGAAGCTACGCTACCAGAAGAACCACAGCGACCTTCGGACGACAAAATTGATACCACAGAAGACAACCAACCTCAGAAGGCGCCTGTTTCTCAGGACGACGCTCCCAAGCCTTCGTCTCCGCAACCCGAAATAGTATCATCATCAACAGGTCGCCAAGTTTCCGTTTTTAGACCTCCCAGCTCTCATACCCCTTCAGCCGCTCTCATATCTCATAATGAAGCAGATTACATGCCAACCGTCGAACATGCACATTCACATCAGAGATTACTGCAGACTCAGGGGCGAAACCAACGGCTAGCCACAGAAGCCGAGTTGGCGGCACAGGCCAACGAAGAGGCGGCGAAATGGGCGGCGGTGAAAGAGGTGGAGGTCAAAATCCGGCTTCCAGATCAGAGTGCCGTGAGCGCCAAATTCGGACAAAGTGACACGGCTGCAGACTTGTACAACTTTGTTAGGGAGTGCCTCGACGAGAAGTGGAGGTCAGAGCAATTCACGCTTCGAAGTCCGGGAGCTCGAGGCAAGAACGAAGTGATCCCAGATGACCCTGGGAAAAAATTGATCCGAGACATCCAACTCAAGGGCCGAGTTCTTGCTATATTTGGATGGGACGATCACACAGCCAGTATTGAGGCACAGAACACCAAAGCTGTACTGAAGGAAGAGCTAAGAGTTCAGGCTCAAGATCTTACTATCCCTGATATTCCGACAGTGGCAGAGGAAGCGTCCGGTGTCAAGGTGAACATTGGAAAGCGGGATAGCACCACCGACGAAGGCGGAGAGGGCAAAAAGAAGCTACCGAAGTGGTTGAAAGGCTTGACCAAGAAATAGAGCATTGGTAGGGGGTTCCCTAGTTAGTATGCAGCATAGCTGGCCTGCATGGGGCTGGTCTCCAATGATGAGTAACGAGGGCTTACTTCCGGGCCCCAACGAGCCTTTGTCTTGAACTCACATGCATAATGAAGGAGACTATAGATGTCCGGTGGTCTTGCAAGATAATGAGGCTCCGACAGCCTAGTTCTTCCTGGCACATGGGTACTACGGAGTACAGAGTAAGTTGGTGGTAAGTATTGTGAGGGTATCTGTACCCCGCACGTGATTGCGGTGGAAAAGAAGTGGGACCACGATATTCCGCCCACAATGAAAGAAAGGCCGGATATTTATTCGCAGGACGAAACTGAAACTGCGAGTGGGAGACGAAACGAAGTCGACGTTCCATACCACCACCACCACGCTCGATATTCCTGCCCACCGTCCGTTGCGATCGTTGCCTCGATTCCGTGCGCACCCCAACAGTCAAGATGCCTTCTCAAGTCACCGACATCAAGCAATTCCTCGAGATTGCGCGCAGAAAGGATGCCACAGGTGCGCAGGGCCCTTCAGTCCTCAGATTTCCGATCTCCCTCACCCTGTCCCTCACCCTCTCCTCCCTCCCTACGCTCTGCAAACCGGCCTGTCATGCCATGCACCCGTTGGCGCTGAAGGGATGAAGGCGGGTTGGGCCGGGGGGGGGGGGAGAGGTTTACAAATCGGTCCAGTTCTTTCGAACAAGCTATCGGATATACTGACGGCTTTTCTTGATATTAGGAGCTCGTCTGAAGAAGTCGTCCAAGTCCAAGGACATCAAGTTGAAGATCCGATGCAGACGATACCTCTACACCCTGATCCTCAAGGACTCAGACAAGGCCGATAAGATCAAGCAGAGCTTGCCTCCTAGTAAGTCGCTTTTGCCCTTGGACTCCGGCTACATTGCACTGCACATGCTGACGTTGAATTCTTCAAACTAGCCCTGCCGTTCCAGGAAATCAGCAAGAAGACCAAGAAGAACAAGAAGGCCTAAATTCGAGGCAAGAAAAGAACGTCGGTCGGTCCATGAAAGAGTGGCTGGTGGAGGAGGTGTTTGAGACGCGCACACTGATACGGACATGGACACGGACACACGCACAAGGATACGGACAACGTGGGTGCAGATTCAGCTGGTACTTGCCCGGGAGCCTGGCAGGGGCCAGCATGCACTTTTGCAACAACTTCCGGTGTTAGCAGCCCCGAGGTCCGGGCTAAGTACTCTGTAGATGAGGTCGGAGCCAGGCTGGGAGCAAGGTTGAAGTGGCTGGACTGGACTGTACGTGACGAGGTCCTGGCAACAAAGCTGCGTAGATCAAGGGTTCATGTTCTTCCATGGCATGCCAAAAAAAAGCCCCCGCAAAAGAGGTCAATTACATGAACTGATTTCCTGGTCCTCTCCGGCATGCTTCAGACTGATATACTATTCTATTCTATTCCATGCCCGTCGTGCCAGTGGGCAAAACATAGTCTATTTCTTGGTATGCCTCTAGAAGACGGGTCTTATCGCCGCTCGAGCAAGAGTCTAGGACACTAGTGACTCGGTCCCTGTCCAGGCGCAATTCATATTCTCCGAAATATGAAGGTACATCACTCGTCTTGCGGAACCCCAGACTCTCAAACAACGCGATACTGCGATGGTTGCTCCCGCCAATTTTGACGGCGAAGTGGGTGAACCGAGTTAGATCTAGCGTCGGCGTCGGCGTCGATGTCGGCGCCGCAGCTGCAGCCGCCGCGGGCTGTCCAGCATGAAACTCGGTTAAAAGAGACGATTCGTGGCGTATAATGTAGCTGAGGAAAGTGAGCAAGGCGGCCCTGCCGTAACCTTTTCTTTGCTCGGTCCGCTCCGCGATCATGATTTCCAGTTCGCCGATCACGATCTGATGATTTTGCGCGTCGTCTTCCGTGGTTGAGATGAACAGATTGACGTCGCCTACCATTGAGTCAAGGTCGCGTCGTCCGTCGCGGGCCGTGGTTTGACTTCCCCCCGACCGGCAGATGATGAAGGTCAATTTGTCTGGGTCGACGCGCCAGCTTCGCTGCATTGCATATTCTTCATCGAGCGTCAGGGGCTCTGAAGCCGTCGCTTCTTGGATATCCTAAGGGATATGAGATTCAAAGAATCATGTCGCCTGGGGCGTGCTTCGTACCGGATCTTTCATCCATTCATGATATTTCGGGACATGGTGCGCCGAATATGGCACCAGGAGAACTTTCGCTGAAGAGACCGCTGAGACAAGTCAGACAATATGTGGGATGACAACACTCATTCACTGACCGGTGTGTTCATTAATCCGCATAGTTCATCGATCCATCATGTTCTGATGCAGATAGATGGATCGTCCAACAACTTTTCAATCGCTTTTGTTGTGGTAAAGGTTGAGATGTGGATGATGGAGGAGGGAAACTTTCCCGAAACCTCAGCCTTGTTGGCACAATGTCATGACCCATTCAAGTCCAGCTGGGAAGGATCGTGAACGTCAAATTTGATCACCTCGACCTCAAGGGTCTCGGAATCCACCAGCACAAGTTCGCCGGTCTCATGAAATCGAGGAACTGCAATGAGTCGGACTTGTTGCCCTTCGGGCCCATGAAGAACGTGAGTATCAAACCGGGCCTGATTCCCCACAAAAAAGACATGAGGGCATTGCTCGATCACGAATTGATCACGGTCCCGGAACGGATAGGACCACAATGTATCCGGAGCCGTAGGGGCGCCACATCTCCATCTAAGCATGTTGATCATAATTTCCATCCTTCCGTCCGCACCGTCGCCATCAGGTCCACCAAGATCAATGTACTTCAGAATGTCATCCACAGGTTGCCCGCTATTCCCCATGAATCGCCATCCATCAACGTCACCGTCCCAAGGGTTGGTGACGCTGTCGAGCCACCCAGGTTCCTCCTCTCCCGGATCGGTGACGTTTGCAGATGCATAAGCTCTCGAGTGTGGGAACATGGCGGGATGAATAGGTTGCTGGGGCAAGCTGAGGTTGGCTGGATCTCGTTCACCTGCTAGAATGGTGATTGGTATGCTGGGAAGGAGCTCCGCGAGGAATTGGTCGAAATGTTCGGTGGGGGAAGGATTGTATGCCGATGCATCGTAGCCGTATTTCCGACTGCCAGGTTTCTTGCCATCCTCGATTAAAGGTTCATGGTTGAGCATCAGGTCAGAAGCGACCGAGTTCCCGGCAATAATCAGACGGGAGATTGCATTGGCTTCATTCTGGTCATCGTCGTCCAACGCCTCGCCAAGCAAGTACTCGGTCAAGAGAGAGATACTTAGGGTGTCCGCCTCGGTCCCCGAAATATCCAAGCCACTGACCAGAGCCACCTTCTTCCTTGGCTGATCAACGTCCATCTTCTCTTCTTCGTCATCGTCACTCCCTTCCCACCTCTTCGGCTGCGGAGGCAGCTCAGGAAGGTGTAGGTCCAGCACCTCAAAATCTCCATTTGCGTTTTCGGTTCCGAGAACTGCGACAATGACGCCCGTGACCAGTAGGCTGTTCTTCAGCGTTTGGCCTGTGAGATGGAGCCGGCCGGATTCGTCCTCTAAGAAGACCTGTGTCTCGCTGTCCGCAGAGAAATATGAGTGTCGCGGCGGAGGCCCAGCAATCCAATGCTCTTTTCCAATGTCTTCCAGAATGTTGGGCTTCAACGGCAGGTCCATGTATATCGTGCCCACCACCCAGCATAGCTGACCTTGTCGGACATCCAGCACTCTTTCTACCCTCTGCGCCTTTTCCCCTGCAATCTCGAAGTCGGCCCAGTCGTCTTCTGCAATCTTCTCAACAACAGGTTTCAACTTGGCAAGCCGCAGAAAGTACATGTCACCGTACTGCTGTAGATAATGCTTGTTCTCGCCTCGAGAAAGGCGGTATGAATAGAGAGGATTGTAGCTACTGGGAGCCCTAGTCTGTAGAGAGAACTGCTCTTCTTTGTGGTATGCACGGAGCAGTCCTCGAATGGGCGCCATGCTAGGGGTTGGGGTAGGTATCGGTATCGGTGCAGTGATGTGCTGCTTAGGATGGAACCTAGAAAGGAATCTAGAAAGAATCCGGAGGGTGCGAAGGGAGCGGGTTGGATTGCAGTAGACTACGCGACGCGACGCGGATTGCAGGGACACTGTGTGAGGGGCGCGTCGTAGTACGGATACTGTACGGAGTACTATAGTTGTAAAAGCGGCATGGTTGGATTGGGGTGAGTCCCACCATAGAGCGTTGCATTAAGTTGCCGCCAGTCTAGCCTGAGCCTTTCATGGGGTATTCAAGAGCGAGTTCAAAACTGACGACGAGAATGAAGCGAGGGAAGATTGCTTCCACCTGCTTAGTGTCATTGTTGCTGCGAGCGCGACTGCAGAGGAAGTTGGCTAGGAAGAGCTGTATACCGTATGGCCCCTAAGCCATTCAAAACTTCACTGCTCAATTGCCAACCCATTTCCTCCTGCGGATGCGTCAAAAAGCGAGTGGTATAGAACTACGGTATACTCAGCTTTGGGCAGAGAAGCTCAACAAGCCTGACGCTTCCTCGCCCTCTTGCCCCGACCGCCAAAAAGACAACTGCATCCTTCCCACCAAGCCCAGAAAAGCCTAGGCTCCCACGACATCAAAAAGCAATCAATGGCCCTTAGGTATCAATAGCGATGCCTTCAGGGTAGCGACGGCCTACGATGGTGAATTTGGCCAAGATGGCATCAATCGCAGCCAGCTCGGCCGACGTCAACTCGTAACCCTGAGCATTCTCGCGTACACGAGTGTCGGTTGTGGCACCTGGGATGGGGATGACGAGAGGCACGCTAGGCTTCTTGGCCAGGCTCTTGGTCCAGCTAATGGCGAGCTGCGCAGGGGTGCAGCCCTTTTCCTTGGCCAGCGCCTGCAGTTCATCCACGAGCTGGAGATTGATGGGGAAGGTGTCAGGCTGGAAGCGAGGATAGAAGCGTCTATGATCTCCTTCGGGGAGATCATCCACTGATTTGAGCTGGCCACTGAGCATTCCTTGGCCGATGGGAGAGTACCTAGTGGTCCCCTCGAGTCAGCAGAGCACCCCCCAAAGCCGTAGAACACGAATACCTACGCGATCAGAGGGATATTGAGCTCGGCGCACGTGGCCGCAACCCCATTTTCCAATACGTGCGTCGCCCACAAGCTCAACTCAATCTCGACGGCGACAATTTTGGTCACCTTGACCGCCTGGCGGATGGACTCGGCGTTGACCTCGCTGAGGGCGATGCCGCGGATGATGCCCTTATTCACGTATTGTTCCTCGAGGTACTTCAAAGTCACCTCGAGAGGGGTGTTTGGGTCGACCCGCGCACACTCGAATATGTCAACCTTCTTGGTCCCGTCCAGGTCCTTGAGGATCCTGTCGAGGCTGCGCTTGATGCCTTCGGGTGATCCATCAGGCCGAAACGTCGCGTAATCAAAAGCCCCCTTGACGCTCAGCACCACCTTGTCAGCATCCTCTGGATATCGCTTGAAGTAAGCCGCCAGGAGTGTCTGCGTGTTCCATTCCGGTGTGCCGTAGAACTCTCCCGCGTTCCAGAAGTTACATCCGGATTCAAGGGCGGCGCGCATCGCTTTGAAGGCCTGCTCGATCGGCACTGGGGGGCTACGGCTGGTGAAGCCTGCGATTGCATACTTGTCAGCAGAGTTCAGACTCGAGCCTCATGTCACAAGTCCACTCACCCATCAGACCATATCCCGTCGAGCCAATCTGCTTTCCTACCAATTCAGGCATGGCGGCGTTGTTTGACGAAGACGCACAAGTGTCAACTGGATTGTTCTTGTTTCGAATGAGGGATGAGTGGACAGCTTATTTCGTAAATGATGCCGTTCCACTCCTTGCTGGGACAGGGCTCTATATACCCGTTTGTGTCCTGAGAGAAGCTGCTCGCGCCAAAGTCCGGTCCCAATCCGGATATAGCCCAAAGTCCGGTCGTCGCGAGAAGTTTCATGCTTCGGTATTGGGTCGAAACCAAGTTTTGAAGCTTGTTGACGCCTCAAGGACCGGCTTTGGGCGATGTAAGTGATGTGTAGACTTAGCAATAGACAAGTTAGCAGCGCCATGATTGGCCTTCCCGATTAGGAAAAACTTCTCTCATTGGATGATTTCCGGCACTTGACCGTTGTGTGGGGCGTTATTTCTATCATGCGGAGGATGTCTGGGTAGCTGACATCTGCTCGAGGAAATTGGTATGTCCGCAGGTCCACCGCAAAGTCCGAGGGTGGCAGAGAGCGGAGGGGAAATGGGCCGAGAGTATGACTTCTGAATCGAACTGCGAGTCAGGCAGTTCCGTCCGCATACCGGTGGCAACACCACACACACATGTCTTTCGGCCACAAGCACACGAGAGAGACATAGGGGTACAGGCAAACGCGTCGACGCAATCAATCTGCATCTAGGTGCAAACACGGCCCGACTCCCTTCCCTACCGCTGCATCCCAGAGCGCTTTCGCAGCCTCATCATGAAGAGAGTTGACCCAGGGAAATAAGACAAGACATTGGTGCAGTCCTGCCCAGGTCTCGATGGACAAGGATCGAAGTGTCCGCTGTATCTTTGGCATTAGCCACGCGTGATCTCGGTCTGCCAAAACAGAAGTGCCGCCGATAAACAGAATCCAGAGCATCAAATCATCGTCCTGCTTGTCTAACCCTCTGTCGATGACCTGTCTGAGATGTTGGCCGACGAGGCCGTACTTCAGGAACCGGCGACGACCACACTGGAGGAAGAATGTCGTCACGAAGGTTATGAGCCCAACATGACAGGCTGATTCCAGCCTACCCTCCAGTGGAGGCCCAGACAGGGGATGGAAGCGAACCAAGCGCGATCCGAGCGAGACGATGACTTCTTGAAATGTGTGAGGATCCATTTTGTAGTCCATGTTGAACAAAGACGCTATATTGGTGACGTCGAGCAGTATTTGCCGAAGACATGGATCGATTCCGTCGAATCTAGATCGGCAGTCGCCCAGGTGTCGGTTCATGAGCAAACCTTCCGATGCCAGGGCCAGCGCGACGTCGGACATCCGGTCTCGATAGAAGCAGGGCGAGGTGCCATAGTGTAGGGCATAGTCCAGGTCAGATCTATCCAGCGCCCGAAAGATCAGATTTCACACCCCATCTGCATTTCCTCGGCCGCTGCGACAGAGACTTACTTGCAAATCTTGATGGCCAGCGGACTGTCTTCTCCCAGCTGCGAAAGGCCGCCGCGCAGTTGGATCATTTTCTGGAGGCCCCTCAGATGTACCTCGGCTTCTGGTTGTGCTTCTCGCAGCAACTCTTGCACGACGAGGAAATTCACGACGGCGAGGTTGGAGTCCGACAGGGCTTCTGCAGTTTGGAGTTGCTGGTTGACCAAGCTCACGGCTTGGCCTAGATGGTAGATGGCTTTGGAGGGGACGGCCTCTCGGCCAAAGAAGAAGGCGTTCAGGGTGGCCATGAGTGCGAGGGAACAGTGATAAGCTACAACAAATGGTGACTTTAGTCAGTCCAGCCTTGCGCACACGCCACAGTGTGGGAATTTACCCGTCTTGTCCATAAACAGCACCTGCAGCCAGTATAACCTGGTCTGTTCCAGCGACCGGCAAATCTGTGGCGGATACAAGGCGTGGACGACGGTATCAAAGACTGTAGAATGTAAGGGAAATGGCCGGCAGAGGTCAACGACAATCCCGTACCTACACTGGCTGATGAGACCTAGACCCTGCGGCGTGGTTTCGACTGGAAATGAGACGGACAGTAGTTTGTCGCTCAGCGCCGGGTAGGTCAAGTCTAGTGAGTCTTGTACAGCAAGGGTGCGCCGGTTTTCATTTTCCTGAGCGCTCCGCCGGTTTGGAACTCGTGCAGTGGCTGTTTGCTGGCCTCGCAGGTCGAGTCTCGACTGTCGATGTCGATGGAGGGTCTTGCCGGCATTCTTGCCCTTCATTGCATGGCTACGTGCCAATCTTCTGGTGGCTTTATCGCTCTTTGTAGAGTCGATGAACTCAAAGTGCTTCTGCTCCCTCTCCATTATGCCTGGCGATGGCAGGTGCAAGTGGTTGATGGTGCAAAGAAAAGTCCGCAGGTGCATTGGAAGTAAAGCTGGATTCACGGATTTACCATTGATCCGGCGGTTAAAGCCGCTCCACTACCTGGATCTGTACAGGCAAGTATGTCTGCCTATACCGCACTCACCGCCGTATGAGGCTGAGGCTGGGAAAAGGACAGTGAGTACGGAGTAGTAGGACCCCCGTCCTCTGTATCTGTATTGCCTTTAGCCATATCTTCTTATTCTATCTCTACTCGGTAGTTCCTCCCCTCTCGCCCTCGCTGTATATCAACATGCTTCAGATATGTGGCTGTACCTCAGAGGGTGGAGGTTTGCCTGCCAATGTTCTTGACAGGGTCTAGGGTCCTCGACGCAATCCAATTCACTGCATCTACGAAGATCAAGCCTAGGTTCCAAGAGACCAGATAACCCAGCACCTAGCCCTTCGAGGATGTTCATGCTCTCGAAGCGTGACAAGGATAAACTCGGCTACTCTGTTTCCTGCAAAGACCTCTGGACATCGACGAAGATCGCCAGTTACATGGAGGATCAAACCGAGAAATTTTTTGCCCATCGCCAGCTCCCAAACACGGGCTCCAGCTCGGGCTTTGGTGGATACACATAGACTCCATCTCGGGATCTACTAGTCGATACAGAGGATCCGGTCCCCGGTTGATCTAGACCTGTCTTGGTCGCCGACATGCTGCAAGACAATGGAGATGGCCGGATTTCCTCTCCACTGGAACGGGCTCCTTGTGCAGCGACGGGTGGCGTAGCAGCTTCTCCTTCTCGGCCATGAGCTGATCTCGCTCTCGAGTCGTCCACCTCGGTACTGGCCGCGCAATACGATATCCGTCTGGAGGAATTACCTCCGATGAACTTAGCGTGCGCCAGCCCTTTCACCAGACTCACCACGTGCTCTGGTTCAATGGTTCACCCGTCTCCTTACAAGAGACTGAGGTTTGTATGTCTTCTGTCAGGTAAGCCTCAAAAAGTATGCGGGACTGGCCCGTGTCTGCGGGATCGGCCTCTCACTGCTCATCAAGTACATGCGCAGGCTCCAAAAAAGGAGTCTGGTAGAAGATCGCATTCCCATGTAGAGCTGGATGGAAGAATTGCGGCTTCTTATCTCTTAAGTTGCCCGAGAACCAACCGCTGAGCGTATCCATTTCGTTCCCTCGTACTTTTATATGTTCACTCTATAGAGCAAAAACAGGGGAGTGTAACAGTAAACCCCCACATGGTCTATTCGCGAAATAGTCTAAATCTCCTTCACCGGCTGGCTACACTACCGTCACAGGTTTGACCGTGGTGGTAAGACCGTCCTGCTTGATATGGGCGCTCTTCTCAGATTCCGCATCTCCAATCGAAGGAGATTCCGATTCCGATTCCGAGCTGATCTGAAGGGCAATCTTTCTTCTGCACCCGTCGTCAGCAATGATCCAGGGAAGGAGGACAAAGGGAGCGTGAACAAGGATGACTTACTCTTGTCTTTTATGCAGCGGTTTGATCACGAAGATGGTGAACAGAATCAGCACCGCCGACATGGCCAGAGCAAACGGGTAGCCCTTTGGAAAACTGGGGGCTTCCTTGGTGGGGAAAGTGAACAGGGGGATCCAGGCAGTGGTGCTTTGCGAGACAGCATTCACGATAATGAGTGTGAATGCTCTTTCCTGCGTGTCGTTACGCAGGATATCGTTCACCCATCCGTAGAAGACGGAGCTCATTCCGAACTGGGCGTACAACAGATTGAATGCCACCCACAGTGCCGCCTCCGGCACATTCCAGATGGTCAGGATGATCATGGCAATGATGTTGACCACGCATGACAGAGTGATGGCGCCGGTGCGGCCGAGGAAGAGGTCCGAGCCGAAGTTGAGGAACAGCACGTAAAAAATGCCGACGGCCGCCGAGGTCGAGCCGTATTCGTTGATTTGAGATGCGTTGTAGCGCTTCAGGCCTTTCAACCAAATCAGATAGCCTCCATAAGATGCGGCGTTGATGCTCCAGTAGATACACCCCCAAAGCGTGAGGGTATAGATTTTCCAGTCGGTGAAGATGTGGATGAATCGGTCCTTCACCGTCACTTGAGCACTGCGCGCCTTCTTGGGAATGCCGACGGTCAGGCGTTCGCGGGCCATTTCCACTTGGGCAGGTGACAGGAACCATCTGTTGGGTTTGTCGGGAGTCCCGGGCCAGACAAATACGCCGGCAATGGCGACGGGGATTGTCATAAGGGCGTTGATGATGAACATCCACCTAAAGAGGGCGATCTAGTTAGGAACAGTAGCTCCCTCATGTCTGGTTTCGGGGGCAGCTCACCTCCAGCCTGATAGACCACTAACACCATCGAGATGGGCCGAGGCGCCACTCTGGATCAAACCAGCAGTCAGAGTACCCAGGGTCAATCCCACGTAGAACATGCCACCTCGGCGACCGATTTCATCTGCGCGATCTAGGTGCTTGTTAGACATGCAACAAGAAGCAGGAGAGAGATGTGAGGGGGGTAAACTGCTTACACCAGGAACCGAGGACATAGTGAACAGCCGGGAAGAAGACAGCCTGCACAAAGAACACATCCATCAGTATATGTGGCAGACACACGCGGTCTTCGAGGCTCGAGACTCGAGACCCGAGGCCCGAATCCAATCCTCTACTCACCTCGAAAAGCCCAATCAGGAATCGATATGCCATGAGCTCTGCGTAGCTGGAGGCGCGGTACTGCAAGAGGGTGAAGATGCCCCAGCCCAATTCGAAGGCAGGGACCAGGTAATGCATGGGAAAGCGCGGGAAGAGATATGTGCATGGAAGCTGGCCGACGACGCTCCCGACGGTATAGACGACGCCCAGTTGGACGAGCTCATTCCCATAGAAACCGAGTTCCTCCTTGAGGCCGGCGACGTATGCATTGGCTAGAAGCAGAAGCAGAGGGATTAGTACACGGTACACCACTGGTAGACACAAACGGCAACGATGCACACAGATGTAGATATAGACATGGGTATAGACAATGGCACTCACTGATGTTCGACTGGTCGATAAACTTGATCCAATAACCCAGAAAGGCGTAGGGCACGATGAGCAGATCCAGCTTCAGGATGAGTTTGCGCTCCTCGGGGCTGTCATCAGCGGCAAACCAGTGGTACCAGGCTCTTCCTTGTCGTTTGGCGTGCATGATGGCGAAGTCGTCTACTTCCTCGGGGATTCAAAGTCAACCGGTAGGGTTCAGCACTTTTCACTGAAGCCTTCCTACGCCGGAGCCCCGTGGTCCTTCTGCTATCTCAATATATAGCGGATTTCGCTGTGGAAGATTTTTATTTCTCCCACGCGACGGCAAGGCGATCACGACCACATGGAGATGATATTTCACCATCGCCCAAGCGCGCCCCACGAAGGCATTCCAGAAGTCTGGCCGCCATCTCGAATCCACCGAGGCGACGGGCGTGAAGCCCGACCAAAATCGCCCAAATGGGTGCTGTCACAGGCCATTCAGGGTGTGCTGACCACAGTCCAGATAACGGAAGCAGTCTGAGGTTCAGAAAACACCATTTCGACCCGCTATGGCACAATCGACGGGCAAGGCCAGCCAGATCATTTGCACGGAGCCTGTACTGCTTTCATCCTCCTTGGCAACCATGCTAAGGGGCAACTGGAGTCTGTATTACAGAGCTGAGAGGAGTAAGTACAAAGTATGTCCTGTGTTCGCTACCGTTGATATTGGCTGCTGTTCCGGCCGTGCGGTTCCAACGGGCTTGTCTCGGGCCCACGATCCACATTGTTCGCTGTTCAGGTGGCCGAAAAAGTGGTCGAAAAGCAAGTTGAGCCTGATGTCGTGATCATGCTCTGCTATGGCGACATCCTGGGCGAGTTTCCTATAGCGCGTATGGATACATATAACTTCCCAAAGAGGTCAGGCGCCTCAAGATGTGGTGGAGAAGGTCCTGTGCGGGATCCGCTCTTCCTCCAGATTGTCTCTCGCTCGGCATCTACTGTACATTCGGCTATCTGCTTATCTGGCAGCGGGTCCCCGTAAGGCCATGCCAGGTGCCATGCTGAGGTACCCAAGAGACAAGACCCAAGCACTACTGTATCAGTGTACTCCGTACGGAGTATTCCTATTCAGATGCCAATGGACTGTGGATAGGGGACAGTGGATGGTGGACAGGCATCCTTGGGGCCAGCCACGTGAAGAAGATTTGCCAGGCCCATGTTTATATTTTTCCGACTCAGCCTTCCTCCCTCTCAATTGCCCTGTACACTTCACACTGTACCCCTATACCAGCTCCGTGCTCCTGTTGCTGTTCCTGTTCCTGTTCCTGCCCTTCCCAAACCACTCCTTGTACGTGCCTAGCGACCATGGCGGATGTTGCGATTCTCCCTTACGACCAGTACACCGATGCACCCGGCACGCTCTTTGTGAAGCGCGAATGGGAGGAAGCCAATGCAGCGCATCCGGAGAATTTCGACTTTGGTGATGTGCCCAAGGGTTGGCCCAAGAAGCTGACCGGACCATTGGTATGGAATGGAAAAGACCTACACGCTCATCGTATGGGAGTCCCCTTGGAGATTGCCTCGATCAATTCATCTGATACATCCATCCAGCTGAGAAGTACGTTCGACTTCTTAAGGACGACGAGATTGCCGAGATCGATGCTGGGTTGAAGGTATGTATATCAAGATATATCCATGCTACTCGAGTCAAATAAGAACAGAAACATTCTGACTTGATGGGCATCAGGCCTTCCAAAAACTTTCCCTGCCTGCATCCGCCGTAGCACAGTCGACCTTCCCTCTCCCCAAGCTAGGCGCGTCTCTGCGGGCGATCGGGAAAAACCTGTACCAGGGCACCGGGATCACCCTGCTCAGAGGATTCCCCATCCAGAAGTACAACCGAGAAGAGCAGGTCTTGATTTTCCTCGGCCTCAACTCATGGGTCGCCGACACCCGTCTGGATCAAGGCATTGGGCGTGGGATTTGTCACATTAAGGTAAGTGCGGTGCGAGCGGACGTCGATTCAGCCCGGCCCGTCATTCCTTTCCAACCTCGACTCCCTTCTAACACTGGTTGAAACAGAGCATCAAGCACCTCGACCCTGCTCAACGAGGCAAGATCTTCGTGTCGGCCCAGAACAATGACGCGCAAATGTACCACAGCGATGCGGGATCCGAGATTGTCGGTCTCATGGCGCTCTCCCTGCCCAGCTCGGGCGGACAGTCGACCGTGGCCAGTGGCTGGCAGGTGTACAACCACCTCGCCGAACACCGACCTGACATTCTCCGAATCCTGGCGGAGCGAAAATTCCGATGGACAGCGTAAGTGCTAAGGATGAGCCCCCGATCGAAATGAGAGAGACACACACTCAACGCTGGCCTTATAGGAACGGAATCCCCGAAGACGGTGTCAGACTCATCCACTGGCTGAACGAGAAGTTGTACATCAACTTCGCCACCAGGACATTCATCGGCTACGCAGAGGTAAGATAGACTAGATACCGATCAGGCCCAGTCCCAGGCCCAGTCCCGGTTCCCATTACACTGTTCTGAGTTGCACCGACACTAACCCGTTTTCCCAACTTGAAGGCACCTGAGCGAGACCACAAATTCCCGCCCCTGACATTCGAGGAGCGAGAAGCCTTCGGAGGATGGCAATGGATATCGGAGCAGTTTTCGCTAGAGTCATCCCTCCAAGTCGGCGACATTGAATGGTACGTCAGCCTGCGTCGACCAACTTCCGTCCAGGCCCCGGTCCCGGTCCCGTGAATTGCTTGTGGACATGGGCATTGGCACTGACACTGACACCATCATCTACACAGGGTCAACAATCTACACCATCAACATGCTCGCCGAGGCTACATTGACGACGAGAATGAGCCTCGCCATCTCCTGAGAATCTGGTCTCGGGATAGCGAGTTTTCGCCCGAACTACCGCTGGATATCAAGAACAAGTTTGATGCCATGTTCAAAGAGGCGCCGACCTTCTATCCCTTGGATGAAATAGAGGAGGACATCAGGAGGAAGGAAACAGGCGTCTTCACCGCTTCTTGCAAGGAGGAGACGGCGGCAGAACGAGTTCGGACCGGCTTCACCAAGCTAGTGTTGGGCTGAGACAGGCTCGGGCGGAGGAGGTAGTTGCTCGTCAGATGTTGATAGATATACGGAGTACGGATACTTGTTTACTATACCCGATTCCTAGCTTAGTACCTAGTGCCCAGTACCTAGTGCCTAGTGCCTAGTTACTGAGGGACCTGGTGGCTGGTGGCTGGAGGCTGGTCGATGATTGAAGAAGTAAAAGTTCAAAGGTCTGTCTGTCTGTCTTGATAAGAGTAGTGCTCGCTTCTGCTTCACCAGTCAAGCAATCAACCCTCTCCTCTCAGCCTCGTTCGTGTCCGTCCCTCTCACGCACTGCCACTAACCCCAACCCTTACCACCCAGTTTTCGGGCTGGTTTGGGCCTGATCGTGGAGATACATACAGTGCAGTAGTTTGGCAACCGCTACCTCCGAGTATAAACATGTCAGAGATCATCGGAACAAGTTGCTCATGGAATCGACTTAGAAACCTGCCCTCAGCGTTGTTGCCTGGTTCTTTGTTTTCCTGTGCTGAAGCACTGGACAGGCTGGAAAGGCGTGAAATCGATATCGACCTGTACCCGTGTGTGGACCTCTTACTATGAGATAGGAGTTATTAGTTATTTGTTATTTTTCGAGTGGCGATTACTGATCTAACTAGACCAGCGATGTCGTTCCCCCCTCCCCTCCACCTCCGTCTATCTATCTATCTATTCCCAAAAGGGGGCAATGGCTGATTGTGCACAGAAAACAGAAAACACAACCGATACCGAGAAGATAACTATGAATACACAAAAAGCCTTCTTCTTCTTTGCCGCTGCCGAGCCTTATGGCATATGGTCTGGCATACGGTCCGGCATATGATATGGTCTAGAAGGGCACCAGGAGTTTCCAGCCCGTACGTCGGATTCTCACCACAAGCACCAAGGTAGTGCCGGCAAGACAGAAGACTCCGGAAAACACCTTGACACCCACCCAACCGTCTGAGTGTTGGCGTATGGCTCCGTTGATGGGATTGGTGGTCAATCCGGCAATCGCGGTGACGAACAGGACAATGCCTGTTCGGAATCCCATCTCTGAAAACGGCGAGATCTGGATGACCAGCGGGGCGATGAGCGAGACGAAAGCGCCGGAGAAGAATCCAAAGAGCACGGCGAAGGCCACAAGGGCCGCATCGGTCGAGACGGGCAGCCAAAGGACCAGGATCCAGATGCCAGACAGGTAGCAGAAGGTGACAAACATGTTGTATCGGCCGAGTTTGTCGCTCGCAAAGCCGGAGAAGAGCCGGCCGAACAGTGATGCGGCATTCAGGATGGGAAGCAGATACTGCGCGAGACCAGGATCCATGCCGGCCTCCAAGGCCTGAACGGGAAGATAGTTGATAGGCACGAAGAAGCCGTAGCTGAAGAGGAATGAACCGGCCGTGATGAGGACGAAGTCGGTCTCGGTAAATGGCTTGCGGAGCTGGGCGCCGCTGACCGTCTGAGGCTGTGGAGGATAGAAGGGACGGACGGTCAGATTGGCCACGACCAGCAGGAAGAGCATGAGAAAGGCGGAAACACGCATGGCCCAGCCGAACCCGACTTCGCGGATGAGGCGTGACACCATGATCGGAAAGACGACACCGCCAACACTCGAGCCGGTGAACAGGATGCCAAAGGCCGCGCCGCGTTTGTGATTGAACCAGCCGTGGATGCAACTGAAGGCTGCAATCGTCATCGTCAGTCTCCTGGCAACGAATCCATGCCACAGGCGTGAAGGGTGAAGGGAAGGCTGGCGTGACATGACATACCAGGTTGAAAAATTGCGGAGACACCGATCGCAGAACACAACCCCTGGGCAAGAAGGATTTGATAGTACTCGGTGCCCAGCGAGGCCATCATGATGCCAAAGACGTGCAGAAAGCTGCCTGTCAGGAGCAGCCACCTTGGACCAAACCTGTCGTACAAGTACCCGACGACGGGGCCCTAGAGAGGGACTCGGATCAGCAAGGCCGTGCAGAGGAAATGGAAGGGCCCAAGCCAGAATGACATGCGTACCATCCCCATGATGAAGAAGATTTGCAACGATGGAATCCATGAGATCGTACTCGGAGAATAGCTGCTGAGCAATTCCCTCTGGTAGTATTCCTGGAAGACGCCGACGCCTGCTTGGTGTCAGTGGATGAGGTCAGGCCTGTATACGAATGCGAAGGAACGTCGTCTCACTGTTGAGCCAGCCGAAACTGCAGAACGAAGTACACCAAACACCCAGCACGACGAGCCAAGCGGCAAGACCACCGTCCGGGCCATCGCCACCAGGAAAGCCGGGTTGCGATGCCTTCTCCTTCTCCATGTCTGCATTTCCCGTCTCAGGTTCGGCCGCCAGGGCCACGGCTTGGGGTTGTGATTGTGGTGTAGACATGGCATTCCTGCAAACATCCAAATGCAACAAGCCTGCAGTTAACGGTTCTTGACATGGTGACTCCTATGGGATTCCCCTCCCTTTGCATCTTTATAGCCAGGAGGACGGGGACGGGGACGGGAATGAGGAACCATTTCGCACCGAGCAGTGTCCTGTCCACCACCCCCTGAGATAGCGGTCTCGGGAGGTCGGGAGGTGGAAAAGCGAAATTGACTGCAGAGCGTCTTCGACCAAAGAATGGCCAGCGGCGTGGCTCCGAGTACGAGTGGTTGACAAGAGGCGCAAGACGATCGACTGACCGTTGAACAGGTCAATGGTCAATGGTCAATGCGCTGCGCAGTTCGGCCTCGGTGGTAAATGAATACTGTGGATTTCGACGGGTGCGGCTTTAAGACATCAATTACGCCCGACCGAGCAATCCATGGGTATTCATCACCTCCTCTGTACTCTGTACTCTGTCTGCACCAGCGATTGTATCCTTGATACATCTCAGAGCATCTCCAGCGTCTTTCCCTCCACCCCGGAGACCTTCTGTTAGGTGCGGGGCTGTGCTCTCCCGAATGACTTCAGAACCCGGCAGCGCCTCGATTTCCCGTTCTTGTTACGCTTGCAATCGCAAAAAGATCCGATGCGACAAGAGCCTTCCATGTCTATCGTGCACGCGGTCGGGCAAGACATGTTCCTATCCGCCGTCAGGGCCACGAATCCGGCGGTCGAAGAAGACTATTTTGGAGGAGATGGCCTCCCGCATTTGCAGTCTCGAAAAATCTCTTGCTAAAGCGACAGAGCATCGAGACAGCGTCAGCGTCCCGTCTCCAGCCCCAAGCACCGGCAGTGCTGAACCCCTGCTAACGGAAACGGCATCCCCTCCCCAGCCAGCGAGAGAGATACGTCCGCGTCCGAACAACCCCAGCTATCGATCCAGGGAGGATGTGCTTGTCCAGAAGGGATCGTCCAGCCAGTACTTCAACGAAATTCTTTTGTCTAGGGTTTTAGAAGAGGTGAGAGACCTTGGACAAGAGGTGGGCTTTGGATCCGACTACCATTCTATTTCTAACCTGGTATGCAAGGTTCCTGACCCATGGTATAGGAATCAAGCATCGAGTCCGTCTTGACCACGGCGCCAGCGGGCTCACCATGCCCCCCAGTCTCCCCATTCAGCGCCTTGGGAATCCTCTCCTCCCCCTTTCCCTCGCAGACACTCTCTGGGTTTCATCCGCCGAAATCGGTGGCTGTGAGGTTGTGGAATAGCTACGTGAACAATGTGGAGGGCTGTGCTGTACTGAAGCTGCTGCATCTTCCCACCCATGAGGTCGAGGTATATTCAACTATCGACAGACCAGCCGCTGCGTCTTTTGAGAGCCACGCCCTGTGCTTCGCCATCTACTTTGCCTCAGCCGCGTCTCTTGACGAGCCAGACGCCCACGCGATTCTCGGACAGGATATGTCCGCTCGCCTGCTCGGCTTCAAGGTTGGCCTAGAACAGGCGTTCGCGCAGGGAGACTTTTTGGACCGTCCAACCCTGACTGGGCTCCATGCATTGGCGATATATCTGGTATGTACCATTCCTCGCCATTGCCCCAAGCAAGCAGTCAATTGGATCTAAGGCATCCCTAGTCCGCGCTTCGTGTCCGTAACCGCGGCAAGGGAATCTGGGTCTTGAACGGCCTTGCCATTCGTATAGCAGAGTCATTGGGTTTACATCGCGACGGGGAACGACTTGGCCTCTCCCCATTTCAGTCTGAGCTCCGTCGTCGCCTTTGGTGGCAGCTCCTCAGCCGAGACGGTCGCGCAGGCGAGGACTATGGTCTCGAAGACACAAAGGGCTTGTTACTGACGTCCGATGTCAAGCTACCCCTCAATATCGACGACGGAGATCTTCGTCCAGAAATGAAAGAGCTGCCCGCCGCAAAACAAGGCTGGACGTCCATGACGTTCTCACTCATCAACATCGACCTTGTCAGGACCATGCAGACATTAACAGCCATTGCCTCGTCCTCCACGCCTTCGTCTCCGCCGAGCGAGGACGAGAGAGCACAAATCACGAAGGAGACCAGGACGCGAATTGAGGAGCGGTTGGTGCACTGCAATCCAGTGATACCGCAACAGCGACTGACGCTTTACTGCTCCCTATTCTTGATTCGAAAGCTTGACTTCGTCACGCGACAACAGTGGCTTTTGTTGCGACATCCTGGAGGCTCTCGCGAACACTTTGCGACCGAGGAAAACCTCATCGAGGCCCTGGAGGTCTTGGAGCCGAGGCTTGATAACGAGGATGAATTGTTGATGCAGTTCGCCTGGGCCAAGAAGGCCTATCCACAATACCACGTCACAATGTATGTTCTGTGGCATTTATGCGTCAAGCCTGAGGGCCCTAGCGTGGATCGGGCCTGGCAAGCCGTAGAAGTTCTCTTCTCTGGCGAGCTATGGGACGAGATCACCTCAGGGTTTGGATCAAAGTCAGCAGTGCTAGCGGCCCTTAGGGCCAAAGCCGTCTCGCTGAGAGAGAAAATACAAGCCCGAAACTTAGGGTGGGAGGCGAGCAACGGCAACGGCAACGGCAACGGCGATATGGGCCTTCACACAGGAAAAGGTCCGTCAGGGGTTGCAACGAGCCCTGCCTCTCTGTTTGGAGATCCGGGCAGTGACAAGCTCGGTTTCGACATCGACATTGACAGTGATGTATGGCCAGATTGGACCACACTGGCGCAGGGTTTCCAGCCAGATGGCCAGGGATTCTTTGATGATTCCTGGAGATGAGAACTAAGTGTTTAGGCGATGTACTCCGTATTCTGCCCTGCTCTGTATGGAAGATTAGAGTGGTTATTTCAGAAATGGCTGTAGGCACTTAATAGGCACCTAATAGGCAAGTCTAAGGTGATTCAAGCTTTAGTCATGCCATTATTCCTCTTTACAGCTAGCGTATTTGCGAACCGCGTAATATCCTTATTCATCTTGTTGTTCTTGCCAGTCCGTTCATTCTTCCTCTTCACTTCTCCAAAGTTGTGGACCGGACAGAGAATCCATTTTCTTTTCCCAAGACAGTGTGTGTCTCTTAGGTCTGCACGACTCGGTCTCCCGAGATCGCTTCGATGTCTTCTCGACCGAGAAATCGACATGAATGAATGAATGAATGACTTGTCGAGCCTTGCAAACATGGATAGCCTATGCCTCACCTCACTCCGTCAAAGCAAGAGGGGGGTGCAGGACAACCTTCATCCCAACCATGAAGCTTCACAGGCTAGCTCGCTCTCCAGAAAAGATGAACTTCCACAGAGGCGAAGCTACTGCAGCATAGAGCGCCCGCACTGAGCGTGGCAGCCTCAGCCTCGGTTCGTCCTGGGGTAAGTTGTCGACCCCACACTTACTGTTGACTCGACCAGAGAGACTTGCTTTCCACCACTTTGAACTTGTATAAAAGGCGCCCGACCCTTGAATGTGCCCGCACGCCTCTTCTAGCGGTTGTCTACCACTTGCACCCGTGTGACTCGATCCCGCTGTCGCCTGTCAAAATGTCGCCGCCGCCGCCCAGTCTCAACACGCCCCTTACCAAACTCCTGGGAATCAAGTATCCCATCATGCTGGCCGGCATGGCCCGCACCTCAGGCGGCCCCTTGGCCGCAGCGGTGTCGAATGCTGGGGGCATCGGGACCATTGGGGGCCTAGGATACACTCCGAAGCAATTACAAGAGGTGCGGTGCCCCTTCAATTCCGAGATACGGGTCCATCCGCTGACACTCGCTCCAGATCATCGACGAGCTGAAAGCGAACCTCGTCGACCAATCCCTCCCGTTTGGCGTCGACCTCGCTCTTCCCCAAGTCGGCGGCAATGCGCGCAAGACGAACCACGACTATACGCACGGGCAGCTTGACGAGCTCATCGAAGTGACAATCAAGAACGGCGCGAAGATCTTCGTCAGCGCAGTCGGGGTACCTCCGGTGCGCACCATCCAACGGCTCCATGATGCCGGGATCCTGGTCATGAACATGGTGGGCGCGCCCAAGCACGCCGAGAAAGCCCTGAAGGCCGGGGTGGACATTGTCTGCGCGCAAGGCAGCGAAGGCGGAGGCCACACGGGCGACATTGCGAACAGCATCCTGATCCCTGCCGTGGTGGACGTGGCCAAAAAGTACAAGAGCCCGTTGACAGGGGAGCCGGCGTTGGTGGTAGCGGCCGGTGGGATCTACGACGGCCGCGGGCTCGCGAGCAGTCTGATGCAGGGCGCCGTGGGCGTCTGGGTGGGCACCCGGTTTGTCGCCGCCGAAGAGAGCGGCGCCAGCAAACTGCACAAGGAGGCGGTCGTCTCGGCCGACTTCACAGACACCATCCGCACCCTGGTCGTCTCGGGCCGCCCACTCCGCGCCCGGATGAACGACTACTTGAGGAAGTGGGAGAGCCAGCCCGAGCGCATCCGGGAGTTGACCGACAAAGGGATTGTGCCCATGCAGTATGATCTAGAGCAGGAGGAAGAGATCGACATGCCCTTCCTCATGGGCCAAGTTGCCGCCATCATCAGGGATGTCAAGCCCGCCAAAGATATAGTCGAGGACATGGTTCGGCAGGCCATCGAGGTGCTACAGTTGGGGACTTCCTATATTGAGGGGCCCCGGAGTAAACTGTGAATGAGGGTCGATCGTGAGAAAATCATTGCCAATGCCAATGCCAATGCAAATGCAAATGCCAAAAGTAAAATGTGCCAGCCTCTTGTACGACGACAAGTGATTTCCATTGTGGGCTATAGAATCCAGCGAGCGATATCGATAGCCTTGTCGAGAAAAATACGGATACGCATACCAGGTACAAATGCCACCTGACGAGCAGACGACGACCGTTCAATGCTTGACGCCATTAACGACAGCCGCGGCTTTCTGGCCGTTTGCCTTCAGCATTTCCGGCGGCGGCTCGGGTCCAAAAACGGGCTTTGCGTCTGCGATGTGCGCCTCCAACTCCTCTTCTCCTTCGTAACTCTCCTCGTCTTCTTCCCCATCGTCGTCGTACTCATCTTCATACTCACTCTCGGTACGTTCTCGGTCGACCTGCCCCTGTTGCGTCGGCCCACCGCGGCCCTGGTCCTGCATGGTCTTGATGATGTTGCGCATCTGCTGTTCTTGCTTCCGAAGTCGATCCAAATCCTCCTTGTCCCTCGCGCGCTCCTCGGCCATTTCGAGAATGTTTCGATTGGTCTGGTCGTGCTTTCGAGTGAGAGTCAGGTTCTCCTTCTCCAGTCTCTTTGTCTTCTTGGACATCTCCTCCATCTCCTTGCGGAAGGTGAGGAAGAGCTCGTTGCTGTTGTTAAGAGTATCTTCGACCTGCTGCATTGTGAGCAACAATTTCAGCTATTGTATTCACCAAAAGAGTTGATTGGAGACAAGAGTTGGACTGACCTGTTTGAATTTCTCGACGTAGATGTTGAGTTGACTGCGCAACTCGGCCTCGGTATGGGAGAAGGTTGAGACTTGGTTTGTGAGGGTGCGACAGCGTGCAGCCTCTGCTTCGGCCCGGCGGCGTTCAACTTCGTACTTTGCCTGTAGGTGAGCAATTTCGGCGTCTTTATGGCGAAGAATGGATTTGAAGTGCATCTCCCGAAGCTCGGCCTGGTCTGCTAGAACCTTGCATCGCGTCTTGAATCTGAAGGGATATCAGCCACCGCCTCGAGATAAACTGGAGGTCAACACATACAACTCATCTAGTTCGAGGTGGAGATTTTCAGAATGCGCCGTTGTATTGCCGTTCATGACCTCTTGGACATCATACAGCATCTGATCCAGGCGTTCATTGATCGTCACCCGTGCTTGCTTCTCCGTTTCTTCTAGCTTCTTGTTCTCATCCTTGAGCTTCTTGTTTTCCTTGGTCAACTCCCGGCACAGCTTTTCGAGTTTATCCTTCATTGTAGCCGTCTTATTGTGCTCCGATTTAGACCGTTCTTGTTCTTTCTGCAACTGGTCTGCTCGCTTCTTGTTCCTAGCATAATCGCGTTCCAGCTTTTTCATCTCGCCCAGTAGCTCCTCATATTTCTTTTGTACAAGGTCGAGTCGGCTGAGGGGGCCTTCGACGCTGTTGATCAATTCGTTCAGATCTCGGGTGGCCTTCTTCACTTCACGGTCCACTTCTGCCTGTTGCGTCTTTTCACCAGCCTTTTCTTGCTCCAACTGTGAAAGCCGCGCTTGGACTAGCTTCGCATTCTCTTCTGCGGTGATTTGCTTGTCTCTCCTCGCCCTGCTTTTCTTGGACACCGGGGGATACACATCGTGCTCGTCGCCATTGGGGGTGCTTGTGGCTTGAGAGGTAGGACTTTGAGCGCTGGTAGCCATGGGGCCGGAGATGGCGAGGAAGGGTTGCTTGTGCTGCAAGTGTCCTTCAACGGCGAGCCTTGTCTGCGAAACTCTTGAAGAAGGTTTTGCCAGACGACATTGACCCGGGATGCGGACAGCCAACGGTACGGCGCTAGGTTGCACCTGACACAGGGCGATGCGGACAATAAGATACGATGTGAAGGGCTGTCGCGTGTGTCATGTGAGTTCTGGGTAGAGGCAAAGACGGGGTCAGAGACAGGAAATCGAGGTGGAGGATTACAGTAGGATGCGCAGATCTGAGACCATGGCCAAGATGAGGTTTAGGCTTGGGTGCAATGTGCAATGCAGTGAAGTGCCGTGCCGTGCCAAAATACCCTCCAAGGCGGTGGCGGGCTTATCCTTGCGCACCCTCCCAGCTATCCGTACTCCGTACCTAGTACTTGTACACTGTCTAAATTTTCATCATCTGCTCAACACAAGTAATACTTGATTTCTATGGCAAAGAATGTCTCGAATCAATGCTATAGCACATCTTAAGTGTTTGGTCCCCTACCACCTGATCACCTCTTCCACGGTCACGGCATCAGATGCGTCGGGATTGAAGTGTGGACTGCCACCCACGCTCTTGGTGTATCGAATCTTGGCTTGCCGACCAGGGCCAAATGTCGGATCAAGACGCCTGATGCGAACGTGTTCCAGAACCTGGCTCGCGTGGTGCAAGTGAACGTCCGACCCATCTGTGGCCGAAAGACAGCGTCTCGCAGCCTCCTCTTCCATGTGCATGATCCTCTCCACAACCAGTGCGGTGATGGGTGAGGACCAGACACCTTCTCGACGACGGCAGTCCCACAAGATGCTCAACGCACGTCGCGTGAAGACAGGGTCGCGACATCGCATGCAAACTGTCCACAAAGCTTTGATAATGCCGAGACTCATTATGAACGTGTGTCCTCAGGTTGTCGTAGGAGCAGATGTCTGCGGGTCGACATCATTCGTCTGTCTGTCCAGCTCAACCCCTTTGAACAATCTAAAACGATCTGATGGAGCTCGGTCTCGAACTGGTCCCAAATCATTTCACTCCCGTTCGGGTTGATTTGTAGCATGGTGTTGAGGACATTGCGCCAGATCAGTAAGGTGAGCATCCCCGACTCCTACTTATTCAACCCTCTTGGGCCTAAAGCGCTTCGGTCTTGGCCGTCTATCATGTCTTGAAGTACAACGCACCATCTCTGGTATTGGTTCAGTATTACCGCCTGTCTGCAGTCTATTTTCTTGCAGCTGTCCCTCTGAGAGGGTCTCTGGATGGATCAACAGGCTCTCCGCATGGTGGAGCAGAAGTGGCATTGAATTGAGAAGAGCGCAACAGGTGAAGACTGCTCTATCAATGGACTGAGAAGCTGGTGGTATGGCGTATTCGAAGGATCCTGGAAGCTGGCGTCGCCGATCTCGATCAATTGTGTGTCCATTCGAGCAAAGACTTCTTTGTATAATGATCGCGGGGCGAAGGCACAAATGATACCATCCATCTCCGGCCTCTTATCAACCACCCTGGCAAAGATATTCATTCCGCTCCTCACATGGCCAAGTGCTGATTGATAATGGCCTCTCAAAGTCTCGTAACAAGTGAACAGGATGCAGGTGGACAAAGCAACGTCGGTGGCCTGGTCATTTGGAGGAAGTCCGAATCGACCACAAGCTGATTGCTCTGCCATAGTGTTTGGTGGCGAATTCGAGCTCGGTTGAGTCATCTTCCAAGTTTCCACCCGCCACAAAGAGTTCATGCAGGCTGCTCAAGGCTATGATAGCATTCTTGATGGCGAGCTCATAGTGAGCGACCAACAGAATAATATCTAGACCACAACTCAGATGCAAACGGGTGGTTCAGCACGCCGACCGTTCTCGACTGGAAGAACTCCAATGCTCTCGACTCCGACTCGAGAAGAGGCGAAGAGCGACCACTAGGCTGAGAACAACCTACAGGAGGTACGTAGTTGACAAACCGAAGGGGAGACGATCTTCTGGCTCCCGACACAGGATAAGGCTGATGGTATTCACAAAAGCGACTCAATCTCGCACATTTCCGACATCGAGGCCTAGGCTCGTCACATTTGACTCTTCGCACTCTATGACAAGTCAGACAAGAGGGCCTCCTCTTATGAAAAGCGTTGCGAGGAGGAAACATATGGAGCTGTTTCTCCATCAGCGCCTATACACCACATACCTACAGGTCGAGCACCCCATCGTAGATCTACCACCACCAATGCGGATATTTCTAGCAGCTGGTTGTATCATGGCCAGCACTGTATGTCTACAATGGTCTAAGCAACGAAGCAACCTCGATTCAGAAGTCAAACGGGTGCAAGGTGCAAGGTGCAAGAACAAGAGAGACGACGGAACGGAACGAGGTCACTTAGGCCTTGGTGTGACCTGTGACCTGTGACCCCAAGCAGTGGGTGGCTGCAGATTGTCCGATCCCGATCTAACGTCATGTTGAGGCGGTCAGGCACACAGGTACCAGAGGCAACTAACAAAGCTCGTCTCGTTAACCTAAATAGAAATAGAATATCGTGCAAACAAGACCCGCCACCGCCGTCGTGTTCTCTAGAGCAAAGGAGGAAGAAGCAGAAGAACTTAGGTAGGGCTTAAGGGTTAGGGTTAGGGTTAGGGTTAAAGGCGACGATCTAACACCCAATCAAGTTGGTCATAGACGAGGCCTTGGCATTGTGGAGTACATTCTACGTACTAGTAGTAGTACTGCAGTGCCCACCTGCCCTTATAGCACTAAGCTTCTATCTAAGGAAAGCTTCTATCTATATGTATATACCTACGTAGTATGTATTCAGACAGGTCTATCTGCCCACTTCCTAGCTTAGTGGTGTCCGTCTGCACTAACTACGAGAATAAAAGGTCCGAGGCCAGCTTCATCTCCCTGCAGGTCCCAGGTCCCCAGGTCCCAGGTCTTGATCATGGTACGTACCTGAGCTGCTTGCAGACCGGTCAAAGATATAAATCCTGGTCGTGCCCATCCATCGGCATCAAAGGTTTGTCCTCCATTCACAAACGCCTACTCCCTTGCCCGTCATCGTCACCCGTTGCCCTGATCCCTCCAGCCGACACCATGTTTCGCTTCAACTCCAACTTCCCCTTCCTTCTTGTCCTGCTATACCATTTGCTCCCTTCCACTACTCGTCGCCCAAGTCAACTCACCAAGCCAGGGACGGAGATCGATATCAACTCGAACTCAATCTACAGAATAGGCAGTGTCAGCAAGATCTTCACCATGTAAACTTTTCTCGTCGCCTCCGGGGAGAGCGTGTTCTCAGATCCGATCACGAAACACATCCCAGAGCTAGCAGCTTGGGTGTCAGGCAACTTCTCCGACGGGATCAACACCATCGCATGGGAGGATGTCACAATTAAGGCCCTTGCCAGCCATCTAGCAGGCCTTTCCAGAGATATCCCGCCTGCCTTGGCTTTTGACCAACAAATTGCTAATCTGACTGGTCTGCCATCGGCCGGACCACCTCCAAATGTGGCATACTGTGGCGCGGATGTCTTTCCGGTCCTATGCAACCGAACTGGTATGTATATGTGGCACTCGCCAGGACTTGATCTCCCAGCGCTAGCCAGCCAGCCAGCTGACCAGTTCTCAACATAGACTTCTTAGGTGAGTCATGATCTCAAAGTGGCATTCCCGTGAACCGGGTGCCGCTGTACCCGATCTCGTAGCCGTTCAAGACTTTATACGGTTTTATGTCGCGACAAGCAAGCTTTAGCTCAATACCGAGGCTCGAGAGCGATCGTCAACTCTGTTAACTAGTAGGTACGACGGGTCCTTCTTAGCTTCCCTCGAAGGGATTATCGGGAACAAATACCGTTTGAAACAATGCAATTTCGGATCTCGAGATCTTATACTCGTCGTTCTTATACTATAGACCGTCAACGACCTTATATTCAATCCCTGAGAGATATCGAATCTAAGTCACCTAGATTCCACACGTGTTCTATTAGACCGCGGCCCGACTCGCTACGTTCTTCACCGTGTGGTCTGCAGTATCAGGTAAGCGATCTCGAGGACGTCGAAGAGTAATAAATACCTATACGTGACGATTAGCTGGTCCGGCGTAGGCGAACAACCTATACCCAAAAGCGCGTTTACCGCCATCTTCGCGAGCAGCCTGACCAACGCCAGCTACCTTCAGGGCCCGTCGATCCACGAAATTTGGTGGCAACTCAGTAAAACCGGTGACAGTAAGTCGATTCCCACTTTCCAGTAGAGGGTCTGGCAACGGTTGACTCGATTGGTTATATCCTTTCACTGACACCACGACTTGGAACGGTATACCGAAGTCCCGACGCTCACAACACCTAACGCAGACCGATCCACACGTGTTCGGTCAGAGTTAGGTGGTCGGTGGATGGCCAGCCGGCTTTCCGGGCGGAAGAGAGTGATCACCGACACATCGACTATTTCCAGAGCCTGGAAAAGTTCCACGAGGAAGGCCTGCCTGACAGACTCCCTTCGCACCTTGAGGAAGACGTAGGCCGCGAACTGGAAGACGAGGTTCAATCGCTCAGGCGGGTTACGGGCGCGAGAAGGCCCTCAACAAAGCAAACAGCCACTCTCTGTGTTCAAGATCTCACGTCCTCTATCTTCCCGGATCGCGCCCTGTCGACGGCGCCTGCCCCACCAAATTCTGTCAGCTTCGATTGGATAGGCAGGCGTTCTCTCATCAAGAGGAGACGCTCTTCTGGATTTGCGTTCACGGGAGCAGTCTGTCCAAAACGCAACGCAACCAGCATGCTTAATCTTCAAAAGATTACTTTTCTGAAATTGAAAGACTATGCAGACGGGACGGGATGACTCCCTCAACCCTGGAAGCCGCGCTGCTCGCGCAGAATGTTTCCAGCTGTCAGGTAATTTGATCCAACCGTTATGCCCATAGTTGGTGGGCTTGCAGCGCACCGGTTGCCGGCTGACACTCAGCACTCCAACACTTCGATCGCGGATCCTGGTCGAAAATCTTGCAGTACGGAGTAGTGGGTGCGGAGACAGATCTCTAATGCCCATGACATCTCGAATCTCCTTCCCGAGCGACGGCGTCGCCGGCTGCCAGATGAAATTCCTCAATCGGTTCTCGTGTCCCAGGGGTAACCCGCATCGGGGTGTCAACAGGTAGATCCTCGCCCCGGATGATGGACGATCCGGGGGTCAACCCTCTCCACTCGATCGCATCCAGCGCTGATGGCCGTCAGATCCTCATGGGCTCAACGTCACCTGAACGTCAAAAACAGATCACCGGGCTGGATGAGGAGGGTTCGGAATTCCAAACACTGCGCTTAGACCATTCCAGTGTAGAATTGTCTCACCTCGATGCGGTTCTGATCTTATTTCCCATCATTCTCGATGGTTCAACCGTCACTGTCGGCCGGCGCAAGAAATCCAGCCAGTGACTATAAGATGGCGTACATTCCTTTGGCCCAGGTTTGGATACGACAGCCTCAACTCCAGTCTCTCTTTTCGCACTGTACCTTCTAACGCCTAGTGTTTTAGTCTTTCAATTCACTTCTTAATATACCAATTCACCATGAGGAAGAATCTTGCTCTGTTGGCCTCGGGCCTATGGGCCGCGCAGACCCTCGCTCTTCCGACCTTTCTGTCCCCGAGACAATCGACCAACATTGATCCCACCATCCTCCAGTTCGCACTGACGGTCAGTTGAATGTTCGTGTCTTCAGACAATTGACTGACTCCGCCTCCAGCTCGAACATCTCGAGAATGCCTTCTACAAGGGAGCTCTCACCAACTTCAGCCAGTCCGACTTCGAGGCGGCCGGCTACTCGGCAACTTACTATGACAACCTCAAGTACATTGCCAGTGATGAGCAATCGCATGTTCTGCTCCTCACCTCTGCGATCACCGCCGCTGGCTATACTCCTGTCGACGCTTGCCAGTACACGTTTCCCTACACGGATGTGTAAGTCATACGCCCCTCATGCAGAAACCGGACTCTAATGTAGACAGCAATTCCTTCATCACCCTCTCCTCTGTGATCGAGGGTGTGGGCACATCGGCCTACCTCGCCGGTGCACCTTTGATCACCAGCAAGGGATACCTTACCGTCGCCGGATCCATCCTGGTTACCGAGGCCCTCCACACTTCCTACCAGCGCGCTGCGATTGGTGAAGTCCCGATGGCCAACCCATACGGCACTGTCAGAACCTCTTCCCTCCCTCTATTCGTTTAGAAAATTGACTGACATATCTTCCAGCCTCTGGATCCGACTTCCGTCTTCACCTTGGCGGCAGGGTTCATTGTCTCGTGCCCGGCTAGCAATGCGGCTTTGCCGTTCACACCTTTCCCGGCCTTGACCTACGATGCGGCCGGCAACTGCCGATGCGAGGGACCCGACTGCTCTCCCGATATGGCCATCAAGCGTCGATCCGAGGACTGCGATGTGCCTGATTCGTCTGCAGGCTGGGAAGATTGGGGCTCGTCCGCGTCCCCAAGTGCTTCAAGCTCAGGCAGCGGCTCCGGCTCCGGCTCCGGCTCCGGCTCGGGCAGTGGTTCAGGTTCAGGTTCAGGTGCTGATGCTGGTGCCGGTGCTGGTGCCGGTGCTGATGCTGATGCTGATGCTGATGCTGATGCTGATGCTGATGCTGATGCTGATGCTGATACTGGTGCTGGTGCTGGTGCTGGTGCAGGTTCAGGTTCAGGTTCAGGTTCAGGTTCAGGTTCAGGTTCAGG